ATGAAATTAATTGATTGCTAAACAAATCTCATTGTGCAAAAAATTTACACATTTAATTTCCATAATACATGTAGCATCTGTTTTCATTAATTCATCTAAATGTGTTACACAACAAATAAACAATAAATAAAAACAACAAATAAAAATTTTCCTTTTCTAACTAAATTCCCACTTTGAGCAATTTGTCAATGACACGATATATAAGCCATACTTAACCGAAATATTATTCGTATCGTTAATGACGGAAATAACATTAGTATTATTGCAGTAGTAAATATATATGTATTTAGCATAATATTCTTTTGTTCATCAAAAATGAATAAATAAAATAGTTACGAAACAGAAATTAAACTATCAAATAGAAATTAAAACGATAATATAACATATAAATATGTTACAATAATATCACATTCAAATTATTGCTTGAAAACATACTTTTTATTAAACAAATTAGACATTACAATAACAATTTTGTTCTTCACTAATTTTGCTAAGTCAACCTGTACATTTAGAAATCTTTACAACAGATCCTACAAAAGCTTGAAAAGCTTTTTCATCTTCTTATTACTCCTTGAAGTCATTATTTTCTCTACCATTAAAAATCTTTGTTTTGTTTACGAAACTTCCTGAAAAGCGATATTGAGCTTAATGCGTAACTGATATTACAAGCTATTTCTGTTCTCTTTCAAACCCATTTTGAACTCAAACAAAAAAAGAAAACCATTGTGAAATACTTTTAGTTAAAATCAATTATAATAAATAACAGTCTAAAATAAATGTGAAATAAAGAAAAATACAACAAACAATAAATCATTAACAAAAGAGCATAAGAAAAGAGATAAGCATTAAAATGATACATCACATTATTATCATCTATCTTCCTATCACTATGAAAATGCAAAAGCTCAACCTAATAATATAAGATGAAAGACAACTATTTGAGGTAATATTTTTATTTAATGATATTCATTAAAGATATTTATGTTTTATAAGTGTGATGTTTGCATGTCTGATTTATGCATTAATGAGTTTAAGAAGAGGCGACTATCAACAAATATGTTATTGTCTTAGACACTTGTTCGATATCATTAACTATATGGTTCTTCATTTAGTCCAAATTTGAAAATAAAAACGAAAAAAAAAACCAAAGGTCATATTGTCTTTAGTCGTAAGAAACTTTACTACATCTTTGTTTATCCAAAGCTAGAAAAATATTTATCTTCAGAGAGACTTTCAATTTCATTTATTGGTAATCAATAAATATAGTAAATGAAACAAGCAAATTAATTAGATTACTTTCCAAGACAAATTTTGCAATTAATATAAAAAATATTGGTGTTTTTCAAATTCTCCAACTTCCATATTGTTAACAAATTATTATGCGTTAAATGCAGTGATCATCAGAGAAGCCACACAATAATTTAAAATAAACTGATTAATTAGTTTAAAATAAATCATAAATTGTTTTTCTAAAATAGATCAGTGATTTGTTCCAATGTCACATTTGTTAGAAAAAAAGTAGCACATCAGTATCCTTCTGATCTCATTCTATATCACTTATCAGAACGACTAATTCCATTTAATCATTTCAATGTTAGCAAGCAAAAACGATGCAATTTTCGTTTCTTTCAATGTTGATTCATTTTGTTGGCATTACATAACGGATAATTTATTCAAAAACAAATCATATAAAAGCTGAGACATTCCAATAATTTCAACTCCATTATAGTTGAAAAGAAAGAAAGATAAATGAATAAAGAAAAGATTTGAGACAACAGCGCAGATAAGACTTTCTTTTTTCTTTAGCTGTATTTTTATGGTAATGCAATTAAATAAAAGTGCTTTGTTGCTCAATATATATGTTTGTCTATTTTGGTGATGAAGTCGAGAAATGTTTAATATCAAATTAGATGATTAACAAAGAGCGCTGCTTTCTGTTCAATTCATTTCAGTACAGTTGGACTTGAACATATTTTCTGGATGATTTCCTTTCGTTTCCTTCCTTTCCTTTTGGTTCAATTCCTCAAACTAATACTTTTTACATTATTATAATGGAAAATAGACGAAAATTTCATTCTGTTTCTTTCTTTCTTTCTTCTCTTCTTTCATTCTTTCACTTTTCATTATCTCTGTTAACACTTCTCATTTCCTCTCTTCTTTCACTTCAATTTTATTTTTTTAATTTCATTCTAATGATAGCATAAGTGGAGGTTTTTTTTTCTTCTAACAACTTGTTTATTTTTAGTTGTGTTAGCATAATTGTTTAAAATTTGACACATATATATGTATGTGTGCATGTGTGTGTATGTGTATGTGTGTGTGGTGTGTGTGTGCGTGCGTGTGTGTATGTGTGTTTGGTAATTTTGTCTTTCATAAAGGGAAAAAAGAAATCGAAATTGAAATGCTTCAATTCAATATTGCGCTTTTTTGATACTTCAGGAAAGAAAATGAGCTGAAAAAAAAGCAAGGATTCGCATTTTTTTCTGTTTCTTTAAACATACTTAAAATGTGAGATTATCTTTTGTTTAAAATGAGAAAAGATAAGATTAGAACGATGCTAATATAAATATTTAATTAGACATCTTATAAAAGTCCCAAAAGTTTAGTATTAATTTAGGTTTTTCCAAATATATGCTACTCATTTGCTTTCTCATATACAAAAGTTTATTGTGTTGGAGCTTCTTCCTAAACTTACATCTTAGATTTTTAATAATTGGCGAATAAAAAATATTTCTCAAGAGATGAAATATCGGAAGTTAAAATTTAGTAAACGAGTATTTATCATTACTTGAATTAATCTAAGATAGTTAAATGATAAATAATTGAGTTAGCTATATAAGTAAATATGGAAATACAAATCAACAACAACAAATTTTGTTCCGCTTCGTAAGCAAGAGTGATAATTAGAATGATAAAGAAGCAAGCAAATGTAAAAATATTTTAATTAAATAAAGATTATCAATTGGTTAAAAAAGATGACAAGACTAAGCGATTTAGTGAAAAATTGCCACTAATGCGAATTAAATGAAATGAATCGGTGAATCAATATAAAAGCAATAATAATTTCATGTGAAGTATTCCAGATTGTGCTTTCTTTTAAACGAAAAAGAGTAGTTAAAGCATATCTCAGCTAAATTTTTGAATTTCAATTCAAAATTAACAAATTATTAGAAGCAATTTATCATTTCTTTTTATTAATTTATCAATTTATTATTACTATATAAAATTCAAGTATTAAATTTAAGATGAATTAAAGCCTCGAAATGTGTTTGCAAAATACGTCGAGAAGGCTAAAAAAAAGGACAAATTTATCAATTTTTCAATGTAGGACGCATTGCTTGAAAATATTTGATTAAATCAACGAAGAGTTTCTCATTCAAAGCAAAACATCACTGATACTTTCATATGTGAATTTTAAGTGTCATTTGCACAGTTTCAATTTCAATTAATTACACAACTTCCGCTTATATATCTTTCAGGTGCAAGCAATTTTACGCTTCAGGCTATTATTTATTCATTGAGGGGAAGCGAAATGATGAAGGAAGTATTTTCATTACTCAAATCAGTCCATTTTAAATAGAAATCTCCTCTCCTTTCTTTTTAATTTTTCCGTTCTTTGTTTTTGAAAAGTTAAGAAAAGCTGATACTTGTCATTTTATTCTAACAATCCTTATCATATAATCTTCTAAACTGCATTCATCTTAAAATACAGTACATCAACTATCGAAACGAATCTAAATAATGAACATTACTCATGCTAAGTTTATTATCACTGAAGTCGTTTCATTCAAAAAAAAGAGAAGACAGAAACTTTTAAATTGTAAGAAAAATATTTGACTATTCATAATTCAACTAAGTTTAACTCAAACTCAAAAATATTTTAGAGGTTGTATACATAAAACAAAAGGATGATTAAGTTTACATCACAAATTAATTCAACATTTGGCTCAATTTAGCTGAATCACCAAAGATCCTAAATTAATCTAAACAATTAACGTTATTATTGTTAGCCTTATTATCTATGAAGTCATTTCATTCAAAACATATATATTCGTTTTTTTAAGTTAAACTCAAATGAGCCATGAATAGCCAAAGTCTAAAATGTTGCAAAAGGCTTCTATATGAATAAAATTTTTTTGTTAACTTCAAAATGGTCACAATAATTCATGAATTCAATTTTCAACCTTAAAGATACTAGAATTGTCATCTCTTCGTCCTATTTAATACTGTAATCATATTTTATTTATTTTCTTCAAACAGTGTAACATTAGAATCAGTTACTACTACATATCATACAAAAAGAAATTCAAACCATTAGTCACTAGACCGTAGATTTTGTTTATTTTATTTCAGTACTATATTATTTAATTCTTTTTTATTTTTATAACTCCCAAATCTGTTATTTAATTCAAATTAATTATAGTTGATAGTAATAGCAATTCTTCGTTGGAAGACTTCGACAGATCGCTTTCAGTGAGAATTGTTTACATATGAAAATAGTTTTTGAAGAAAATAAGAAACTTTTTGAATATATAACTAAAAATAGTTATTCTTAAAAATTACTTTTCTTCTAATTTGCAAAGTGTTCCTAGAAATTAATATTCCTTTGTAAATTTATTTGTGGAATGAAAAATTTTGGAAATATTCCAGCTTGCCAGAAATAAATTTTCAGATACGTTTTCAGAATAATATCTTCTCTCAGTCAATATCACATGTGTAAATGTAACATGGCATGAAGAACTTTTTGGTATCATTTGATAAAATGTAAAAACATTTGATGGTGATGCTAAAGAGAATGGCAATGTACCCTGCTTACTTCTTCTAATTATCTTATTTAATTAAAGCATAGCATTTCTGTCTATCATATTAGCTCTTATATTTTTTCACAATGCATATCTTAAAATTTTGTAAGAATTATCATTTTTAAGATAAACTTGAAAAGCTTCAAATTTTAAGTTTTAAAATGAATTTTAAAATAAAATAGGATTTTCTAGCAAACAATGGAATTAAACAGTGCTAGTGTAATCAGGAATGACACAAGTGCTACAGAGATTACAATTCTATCAGCAATTCCTGATGTGATTAAAGAAGTGCCAACACTTGAACCAAGATGCTATCTCAATGACACGAAACATTTGACTGAGCGCTTATGGCTCGTAACAATCCTTGGCTCAGCTCTTAGTACTATCAGTATTGTTGAGAATGCTTTCCTATTCTTAATTTTTATCACTACCAAACAGCATCGTCGCAGTCATTCGCTCTATTTATTACTTCTGGCACTTACTGATATATTTATTAGTTTAACTTATATATTAATAATGTCTGTAAAAGTGCTCTGTCAATACAATGAATGGGTTTTCATGAAAAAAATTTGGTATGTTTACATTTTAAATATAATTCTTTTTTTTGAAAGCTAACGAAAATTTTCAGTATGCAAAAAGTAAGGGAAAAGAAACTATGAATTATTTTTGGACTTCGACTTATTTCTGTTCTGCCAATAGAAAAAGCGCTAATTTATTAATTACAAAATAGTTTTTTCAGGATGACATATGTAGTACCAATGATGACCATGTCGCATGTCGCCATAACCGCCTCATCCTTTCTTATCGTTTTCGCTACCGTAGAGAGATTCTGTATCACCGCTTCAAACCATTATGTCGAATTTTTGCAGAATAATCGCTGCTACATAGCTTTGTTAGCTGTATTAATTGGTGTGTTCACCAAAGGAACACTGATACTTGAGCTTAAGGTTGAAATAAATTTCAATTTTAGCGAAATAAATTTTTGGTATTAAAAAAATAATAGTCCTATCATAATTTTAGTTTTAACTTTGCAAAAGAAAATACAACCTCGAAAGGCAATTATAAATTAGTATTCTAACTGAAAAATCAGATCTTATAGCAGAGCATTATGCCTTATTTTTTCATTATGCTATTCAGTTATCTGAGTTTTTATTTCACCTGCCATTTTAGCCATTGCTAATTCAAGCTTTCTATCCATTACTTATAAATAATATTGACTCGAAGCGTCTTGAATACATCAACCATCATCCCTCTAGTAAGAGTTAGACTTAAATTCATAAATGCAACTAAGGCTAAATGATTATCATTCATCACTTCATCTACCTGTATGCATCAAAATTTGCAGCCAATTCATAATTCGAATTGTACTGGAACAATAAATGAATATCGGCTGGAGATAACAGCATTAGTAAGCCATAACGAACACTACAAATTGTTTCGTTTTTGGTTTCGCAATATTGTTACTATTCTATTTCCATTTTTCACATTGATATTCCTAAATGCTCGAATTGTTAATGAGCTGAGGAAAAATTTTATTGCTGAAAAGCATAATATGGAATTAACGCATGCTACTAATGCCAAAGAGCGAAAAGTTTGTTCAAATATTCTAATTCAAATCTTCAAAATTCTAAAATGAATAAAAGAAATATTTTTTTCTAATGCTTAAAAATTTATCTAATTGCGAAAATAATTATTTGTATTGATAAATTTCTATAATTTGCATTATGTAACTGTTTTTTTTTTTTTTGCACTACAAATTTTGAAATGGGCGATTTAAGTCTTTTAACTATATTGTAAATGAATTTGTGAAGTTAACAGAATGACATTACGTCATCAATTTGATTACTAGTGCATGCATGCATTCCCAGTACAGTGAAATACGCTATAACTTCCTCAGCTAATATTGAAAGAATTTGCAGGCTCGAATTCGAGCAGCTACACGAACTTTAATGCTTGTTGCTTGCACTTATCTTCTAGCAAATATGCTCAATGTCATTATAACCATTTGGGAGCACATCGATGCGACATCACTTTTCAGCAGGTACAATAGCACTTCAAACAGTATTTTAAAATTTGGAAAAAAAACGAAAATTCAGTTAAGATTCATTTCATACTTGCGAGATTAAACTCTAATTTCTATTAATCCTATCTAGTATTACACTATTAGCCTTCTAAGGGTGATTAATTATGATATTTTAACTTATTTCATCTTTTGGTTTATATAATAATATTTCAGACTAATTGTTGAATTAAATTCTTCTCTCTTAGCTAATTCAAAAGCATCGATGTGTACGAGAAGCAACCATTCCATCGAAGAGCATATTAAATTAGCATATAAAAGTTAATTAAACTATTATAATACAAAATGCTAAACTTTTTATTTTCAGTTTTTTGGACTTCTACATCTTTAGCGTTGATACGGTATCGTTGTTGACCATAGTGGCATGCGCTTTACGGTTACCCATATATGCAAGTTGTCAACCAGCGCTTCGTGCTGAACTGATTCATTTTGCAAAATCATTTTGTAAGAGGCCAAGACACGTGAATGACGGACGTAATGAAGCACTACTTATTAATCGTAATGGTACTATCAGTGAAACATTGTTCAATGAATAAACAAGAAATAGAAATCAAAGCTATACAAATGTTTACCATTAATTAAATGAAAAAAAGACAAAAAAGCTAGTCTGTAATGTGCCATCTACTTTTGTTGCTTCATTTACTTTATGTTGCAGCTCATATCATACCAGGTAAGGCGCTTATTGCTATAGGGCGCTCATTCCCCAAACATTTTTAATGCATATAAATGCAGGTGTCTGATTTCAACAAATAAAGTAACTTTTACGTAAAAAAATCTCGAATTCGTTTGAATTGTACACATTTGTGGTATATAAACACGTAATCGTTTTTTCATTATTTTTGAAAGAAAGTGAAGTTTTTATTTTAATTTCTTACAAATAAGATTGAAAATAAATAGAAAGCAAAAGAAAACCGGTGACTATCATGACATCAATAGAATTCATCTAAAGAAATTTCAATTTATTTACTTTTTTTATTTAAGCAGCTGATTACATTATGATGTTTAGTTGTTAGCTAGACTATAGCACCTGTGATATTACTGTGATGAAAGAAAGCTTAGCAAATTCCATTAGAACAAAGCAGAATGGTGTGATAAAGTTTTACTAAGGTACATAAGTAACTGAGAAACAATGAAAATATTATATTAAGAATGCATGGTATTATTTTCTAATTTTTGCATATATTTCTTTGCATAATTTCAAAATTTATGGTTTTAATATTATGTTCCAATATGATGAATATTGGTTTTGTTGAGCATTGATAAGGCGACTAATAAATTCCTTCAAATTATTAGTTCTTGCAATTAATACCATTTAAATGCTCAGAATTATTAACATTTGCATGATCTTAGAGAAATCTCTCTCTCTAATGATAAAACTTGAAATGAATCACTTTATCAAAATTATCACCAAGCTCTGAATATTTAATTATCTAAAGTATTCTCGCATGAGTAATTAGACGGAAATTGCACACGTTTTGATCATTTTACTTTCTTTAGTTCATTATTCTTTCCAAATAAAATGGAAAGAAGTGATTGATGAGTTGACCAAGAAATGATTTCATGCTAGTAAAAGCAGAGATCTTTTAAGTGTTCAATCTATAAATAAAAACACAGACACTTAAGCGTAGTTTAAGCTTCAAGTAGAGTATCATAAATTGGAATAAGCAAAATTTCCATAAATATGGACCTGTTGTTATATAAAAGCACTTACTAATAATAATATTTGTCTTTTCATAATTTGCTTCAAACTTAATTGTTGTTTTACAAGCTCGTGCTTCAGCTGAGAATTGTGAAACAGTTTGGTCCTTTTTTGATTTTTTTTAATATTAAATTTTGATCTTTAAGAAAGTAAGCATAAATAATATCAATTTTCAAGACAAGAATTTTACTCCAACTTTCTGTTGAGGTTTCAAGAAGCAACATGCATTTTCCTCAAAGTTAAGTTTTAACTGAATAGTATGTTTTGTACAGAGTAATCGACAAGATTTCACATTTTTGGTTCGATGTTACTGTATTATGTATGATTATTTCACTTCAAAAAAAAAAATTTCACTGACCTTAAATTTTAACTATTTTAAATTACTTCGTATTCAGCAGTGAATAAAACTTTTTAAAAAAGTTTAATTTCTGTGAAGTTATTAGTGTTCAACATAAAACAAAACAAGTACGTAATTTGTAAATTTTTTTATTTTAATAATGCTCAGAAAATGCAACATTAGATCCAATGACAATAGTAAAATAGCTGTTTGTTATGTTGAGAAGACATTCTTATTTAATAAAACATAGAAATTTAAGAAAATTTTAATGATGCCTCTTCTAGATATCAACAAACCATCAGCATTAAAAAAAAGAAAAGAGCTATGTTTATTAGCTTAACAAATTTCGCTATGGAAACAATTTTATACATTTTATCAACAACAATAATGATCAGTTTTCCATTCATGCAATGTTTAAGTAAAAGAAAAAGTATTAATTTATTGAAATAAATAATTGTATATACATAAATATAAATATATGTAAATATCATAGATGTTCTAATTTGATACATTGATTCTTCAATGTTGAAATCAGTGTTGAAAGATTTCCATCTTTTTTTCCTTGAACTAAAGAATTCAACTAATAAAATCAATCATTACTGGTTTTTTTATTTTTCATTTGCGTCAGCAAAACTTTGCTATTTTAAATTAAGTTAATCTAAATTATCGTACCCATCCAAGAGTTATTTTAATTGGTCGAACTTTGTCCTATTTACAGAAATTTCTAATTAGACATTCAAAATGAAGATTAATCATGTTAATGATTAATTAAGTTTTAGAAAAAGTAGCGCAAAGAAATGACAGTGTAAAAAAAGAATACAGTGAAAAGGATAGCAACTATCAGACGACGATCGATAGGAAGAATAGCGACTATCAGACGACGATCGATAAGAAGAATAGCGACTATCAGACGACGATCGGTGAGAATAGCGACTATCGCAAAATTATCGCTAATAATATTTGATTTAAATATTTGAATGAGCGAAAGAATTTACTCTCAGAAATGGTTTGAGTTATTGCTAATGCAAAAGAAATTTAATTTTTTATAGGAAGCACAAACTAATCATAAAATTCACATTCTAGAGTCAGGAATTAGTACAACGTATATGGTTAAAAATCAAACTGTAACAGAAGATACCGGTCTTGATACGGTAAGTCTTCTTCTTATCAGTTTTCAGCATGAAATAATGAAGAATATAGTTAAGTTTGATATTATTGTTTGCTTCATGCTAATGCTTTTTGATATCATGAAGTATCGCCCGAAATGAAATATTGTTTAATGAAAGATTTTCAATTTGACAAACTTTTTAGATGCGGGATATGGGAAATCTCAGTAAAGCACTTTTGGATACGATAAGTATTTTGCCGGTAATATTTCATGAAATATTTCCAGCCATCTAATGTTTACATAATTTTTTATTTCTAAGTAATTATGAATTGGTATCACTTGCAAGAACTTTTATAAAGTTAGCAGGATAGCAGGAAAAGAATTATCTTTTGTCAACCAACCTCATTCTAAAAAGTTCCAACTTTTTTTATAAAAAAACTTTCCATTTTTCATAGCAAATAATTCACAACGAGTAATTTCATTTTCTATCTCTAAAGAATACGAAAATCTGAAGAATTCGGTGTTAAAATAAAAAATTATAGAATGAAACCACCGGTATGGGCGAAAGGTCAAAAGCTAATGAAAAGCGCTGCGCGGGAAACAGAAAAGTCAAAAAATGACATTTAATGTCTTCGTTGCAAATATTACCATATTATTCTCTTTAATAAAATGAAACTAGTTGAATTTGCAATCTGAAACGATTAATTAATTAGTCTACTCGACTAAACAATCTATTAATTAGTTCATTTTATCGAACTACGTATTCATATTTCTCTTAAGTCGAATAATAATTGATGAAATGAATACAACCAAAGTAACCATAGTTGTCCAAATGGCCAAATAGCTAAGTCGGTTACCTTAACCTGATTTTGGTTGCTTGCATACTTTTTACTAGTAATTATCTTAATTCATAGTTGTTCAATATAATAACTCATGAATTTTTTCCGGATGTCTAATAAAGCTAATTGCTTTTCGACTATCTGCAATCGACTAATTGGCATTTTATCCGTACGATTATGCAAATCTTTTTTTTTTTTGAATAGCCACGTGATTTACACAGTCACAAAGGACTATTTCAGTCTCTTACTATTATCAGAATTAAGCCTATGTTTAGTCTTACCAATAGCCTAATACTTAGCAAGATTTAGCAAAGAGAGAATGAACATCACAGAGAGATTCCATCGCATATCATAACATTTATGAGTAGTAATATAACTGAACTAGGCTAAGCTAATAGATCCAGTTCATTAACTTGATCAGATTTAATGATGGAATATAGCATTATTGATTAATTCATTGATAATATCATCTAATAATTCATTTCTTATCGGATGTCGTAACAACGACATGATGATGATGATTTCTTTTGTTCTGCCTTGATGCCTATGTTGACAAATTTGTGTTAAATGAAAGATTGTGCTTGAATTGTCAACCAATTAAAATTGCATGTGAATTCTCTTTACCTTAACTGAACAAACAAAGTATATTACAGTATGGCAGAGTGCAAGTTCATCAGAAGTGAGAATTCGCACTTATCTTGTAACTTACGTCAAAATGAAAAACGAAGGAAAAATTTTTTTTTGAAATAATTCTTATTTGAAAAGACACTTTCAAATGCATAATGAAGGCTACTTTCTCTCTTTACATCATTGTTATCTTTTGTTACCCTAAAAAATTTAAGGAAATTAGTATAAAAGTGCAAATTAATTAAAATAGAAAATATGTACAGGAATCGTTAATCACAAAGATTATGTACATTTTCTAAAATTTATTTTATTGCTTATTTGTTCGGGAATAATAACGAGAGTTAAATTATAGTTATTCAAAAATTTCATTTAGTTTAGGAGGACGTAAGAGGATATCAGGAAAAGCTAATGGAGAAATGAAAGAAAGGATGAATTTGAAGTTGAAATTCCACAAATTGTAATGATTGAAGCGTCGTAATAAAAATCAGTTAAATCAGTTACATTTATAATAACATTCGAAGTTGAGGAACAAATTTTTTTCAATTAATTTAGTAAGAGCGGTGAAGTTGAAGAAAAAGGGATTGAAATTGTAACATTACAGCACGGAAAAGACATGTTGGGAATAACTATAGAACGGATAACTTTAATCAAGTCAACGACATTTACGGAGATAGATGTGACGAACAAGAATTTAAATTCAACCAGTTCAGTTGTGTTTACTTTCCGGAACGGCTGATTGAATATCAGACAAACATTTTACTTACTGGCACTGTATCAATTCTTAGTTAATAAGTCTTTTAAAACTTCAAATTAAGTTAGGGATTTTTAGCCCTAATTTAAACGAAGCAAATTCTAACTAGGCAATCGTTTCAGAATTTCTCAATAAAACATGAATTAATAATTGATAGAAGTGCTTTTAGAAAGTAAATACAGACTAAATCATCACTCCAATAATTTCTGAATTTCTTATACAATATTTGATTACTTCAGAATATCAATATAAATACAATTGCATAATCAGTCACAGATAATTTTTTAGGATTTTGATGAAATTTACATAGAATTCAAAAGATTGCGAAAGTTATTACAAAAGTTGGATGCAATACAGCATGAATATCTTTTGATAATTTTATTTCATTGTAAGCAGGTCACCTGATTGCTATTTGTCAATTCAATTCTGATTTAAATGTTCATCTAATAGTAAGAGCACATATTTTTGCATAGATATTTTACTTGATTTTAAAGAAGATAACTGATATTTGATAATTTCGTATGCTTATACATAAAGCTGCTTATATACATCAGCAGATCAGAAGCATTCACTGTTTTCATTTAAATTTTGGAGAAAATACCCATGCTTATGTCATTTTTGTTAACTAACCAATGAAGTAGCATCGATAGCAATTAATATGATTCTTCGTCTAAAATTTACAATGAATCTACATATTGTAAGTACAAAAAATCAATTAAAAGCTTCCAAGGCCAGGAGTAATTTTGAAATTGAAACTTTCAATGCGTTGAATTTTAATTCTTTAGATTTATTAGCAATAAGTGAAATGCTACGAATATTTGTCGAAATAGCGCGTTTTATTGCAAAAGCAATTTTATTCATAGTATCAGCAGAAATAACTATGATTGTATTAATTGTTCAATGTTGTTCAATTAAAAAGCGTAACCGTACCATTTATACTGAAGAAATAATATGATTAACTATCGGATGTGAAATTAATTAATTAATTAACAGAATATTTCTTAATAGGTATTATTCGGAAACAATTCTGATTATTGTATAATGTTGAATTAGTTTTTTGAGCTTTGTTGCTTAGCCTTTTCTTATTCCTATTGTTATATTGATATTGTTATATCTATAGGCGTTAATATTTACCAAAAAGGAAGACAAGTTAGAAAATATGAATCAAAATCTAAAGTTCAACAAGAAGCAGCTTGTAAGCTAAACTTTAAAATTATACCTTGAAATAATGCAATTGATTATATTGTGCTGTTGATGATCATGAAAATAAGGAAAAGTGAGAAAGAGTGCTTTCTTTTGTAACTTTTCCTACCTGAAATTTAAAGTGGGTAAAGCTTAAATGTAGCAACAGTCTTATTCATTATTTCTGTTTTAGATACTCTGAACTATTTATATTTTTTTTTAGAATTAAACTTTTTACTGCTAATTTTTAGCACTTAATTTCGAAAAAGTTTACAAAGCGATGGGAAGAGACGTGGTAGCTACAAATCCCAGTACTACTGTAAATGTTTGTCTTAACCAATTCTTATTTGCTATTTGAGTGGGAATAGGAGTTTTGAGAAGGAATAATCAATAAACTATTATTTTTTAAAATCTTCTATGAGACTTTGTGCAACGAAAAATCAGGAATTAGAAGACGGAACTTAAAAAGAAACAAATCAGGTATGGTATTTTTTCTTTTATATTTTACGTTTTGAAGGAAACAAAAACGAAAAACGCTAAATTGCAGAAGAAGCAGCAAGCAAACTTCAAACAATCGCCTCCTTTGATAGAAAAATTACCGCAGGTGTCTTTCCTTAAAAAATATTTTATAATTTAAAGACTGAATTTGTGGAAAGAACAAATCTCATTTTTGATTCTCTTCTGTTTCTATTATTGCAAGAGAAATTGTACTTTCATCACTCATTGATCTTTTATGGTTTGAATAAATTCTTCTCACAAACACTGATTAGGCTCGTTATCATAAAAATAGTAAAAATGATGAATTGGAACTAGAAATAACTTCTGAATCAAGAAGAAACCTCGGAGTAAGCATTTCCAAATATCGTAACGTCAAACCGAAAGATCAAACGTTCTTTAGATGAAATCCTTATGAGACATTGTAATTGCATACGAAATGCAACCAAATAAAAAAAAGTATTTAGGGAGAAAATCATTCAATGGTAGTTGTAATCGAAAACAAAAAAATGGATGATGAGAATGGAATGAGTCCAAAAATAAATGGCCTGGTGTCGATGAAGCCTGAACAGAAACCGGAAGTAAATAATTCAATGGAGAAAAAGCTTGAACAAGATGATGCAAAGAAATCTTATAGTATTGTAAAAGAATCTATGAGGTATAACGACTCGAAAGAGAAATGCAGAAACGATTCTGAAACCTTTCCCATTCTTTCTGCAACTCACTTTAAAGAATCCGATAAACAATTGCTAGCCCAACAGATGCTAGGTCTAGAATCCATACCTAGCAAGAAGGAATCCGTTCAGGTTAAAGTCATTTTAGATGATAAACCAGAGGCATTAGATTTTTCACGAGTTTTATTAAAGAAAAATGAAAATGATAAAGTAAAAATGAATGAATTAGAAGGTAATAATCCAGTATCTGAAGATAAGGAATCAGAAACTGGCGATGAATGAAAGTTATTTGTGAATATTTCCAGTTGTTATACAACTTTGCTAATTAATAAATAAATATTTGCATTTCCAGTTGTTATGCAAAACCTAATTTAATGAATAAATCACAGCAAGTGTACATAGTTCGGCTTAAGAAAGTAAATTTAAAGCTTTTGTCATTTCCATCATATTTACACAAATAGAATAACATCCTCGAATTAAAAACTTCTTTTAATCGTTTTAAATTTAATATAAGCATGTTTTGAAAATATATTTCAAACAGATTATAAGTTTCTTATATAATTCAAACTATTCTATTCTTTATTTTGATTTATAAAAACATTTTTTATAAAAAAAAGAACTTGAAAAACTTAATTTTCTTAAATAATTATCACTTCTTTCTCTTCCGAGTTTCTAACACCGATGTCACAGAAGGAGTAAAAAATGTTCTTCCAGAATTGTCAAGGAAATATTTTACTGATCATAGTAGTAGCGTGCATATCTGATATTTAAATATCTCCTTTCATAATTTTATTCCTTAATGAATAAAAGAAAAACTACTTAGTAAAAAGAAAAAAAAAAAAAAAAACTATCTTTGAAAGCAATTTTAACCAGAAAGAAATTTTCTAAATGAACTTTCTGTTTGAACTTTCAGATAATTTTTTGTTTTAATGCTTTAATTAATATTTTCCAAGATTTGAAGTTTAGTTCGGAAATCAGAAAAAAAGTGACGAAAATATTATATCATTTCATATAAATTAATTTTGAATAGCAAAAGTTTTTTAAAAATATGCAAATTTTGTGAAAAGTGATATAAATTTAAAAAATTCTTGCCCAGTCTCAATCTCATCTCAACTCATTTTCCAGTGATCCATCGGTTGTTTAATTTCGATTTTGAAAGATTTGAGGAAGGGATGGAATTTAGGGCTTAAATCTATCAATTTCTATATAATGTCATGGTCATTTTCATAGGAATTACACTTTTAGTTCGAATAATTGAAGATTACTTAGAATTTGTCAGAAGTAAAAGTTCTTTTGAAATTATTAGTGCTAATAAGTAAATGCTAATGAGGCAAGTTCATTATTAACGTCAACATTTTTCCACTTCTCAATTTACTACTACCAATTAAATTTATTCCAAATGCCAGGTGATACTATAAGTGATTCTGATCAGTACAATTCCATTCTTTGCTTCTCATTTATGATAAGATGAATTTTCTTAAAATTAATAGATTGAGGACTATGAATTTGATTACAACTGTGATAATCACCGTATTACTCAGTCAACGATTGATACAATGCGATGAATGCGATGTGAAATTACTTAAAACGGTCAGTGGTTTACTTCCTTTTCATTCTATCAGTCTACTGGTGTTTATGTTTAAAATAAGCCATTAGAATACTTTTATTATTAGTAGCACTAATTATTCCACTTTTTTTTCAAATTAGATCTTTGAAAGAGTTTTATTGCTGAAATTCAAAATTGTATTTTCAATTGATTAAATATATTTTACTGTAGGCATTCCCGGATCCGGATTATTTGATATATGGATTAAGGGAGGACAGAAGCATTCTCCTTTTACCGAGTGATATTGTAAATAATGATTCGGTGTAAGCTCTTCTTCTATTTTATTCAGAAATAAATTATTTTTTCTGGAATTTGAAATAAATTAAAAAGAAAAGAGGTACAAATATTGAGGCTTTAAAACAGGAGAAATATAATTTGATACTGTTAATCTAAGAGGATTCATTTTCTTACTAAATTTTGAAACAGAATGATCTAGCTTCTATTTTTTCCAGTTTTTTTTCAAAGAACTGTTAAGAGCTAATCTTAATCATATAATATATTTTTGAAATAAATTATCTCTAGCAGAGAAGCCATGTGAAATTAAAATATCTGAATTTCTTGACAGTATGCCTACTTACTATTTTAATTAGTTATTTAATTAATTAAAGGAGCGAAAAACTACCAAGTTTATTAGATGATGGCCTTTCAAAGGGACCAGACATTAATCATTACGACGTAAGTTAAATATTTCTGTATTGTCATCTTATACAAATATGAAGAAGCAAAGCCATCTTAAAAAGGCGTTTTTATCGGAAGTTTAAATTTCATTTATTAATAAAATGGTTTTAATTATGAATAACAATAAGGGTTGAATAAATAATAAAATTTGCTTTCTTCAACATATACACTAAAAACGTTTTCGGTATTTTTTTTTTTGGTTTACTTAGTACAATTAAGTAAGACTAGAGAAGTCCAAATGATAATTTTTTAAGATAAATAGCTAATTTCAACTTTTTTTTTTCAGGCGATGTTGATTGAAGTGCACGGCTTATTACAATTTATAACTATATGGCAAGAAATACATAGCACTGGAAGATTGTACACGTTTACACGTCTCTCGTATTTCGAAGCGTTTCGATTGGTGTTCGTACCAACACCCAGCAAAATTGTATATGAAGCAACGTTTACAACATTGATGTATTTCTCTGATTTGGCCCAAAATTATTTCATTTTTAAAACTACCGCTGATAACAAGGTCTTTTTTTATCAGATAGGTGAAGGCCGTACTGGATCATATCAAATTATTTTTGGGGTAAGTTAATTGTTTTGTTATTATTTGCTTTGACGAAATCATTAATAGTTATCATCAACACTTATCATCTCAAGCCGTAATAGTGAAATTAATATATGAGTCCAGTAAAAGAATAAGTCTATCCTAAATATCCAAATAATTTTTATATCATATTTTTTAATATATTAGCTGAAAAAATATTTATTCTTTTTTATTTTATTTCTTTAGTAATCTATTAACCCTTGCCATTTCATTTATAAATATAACTAGCGTAGTAAGCATAAGTTAAATGTGTAATAAATTTATTTTCCTTCTATAACAAAGATTAAAAAATATCCATTTTTCATTTTATTCTTAGTAAAACTGCAAAGAGAAGATGGAAATTGAATAAATAAAAAAAAAAATTCTTAATAATTGAAAATTAAAAAATTCTTAATAATTGAAAATTTATTTTACTGTTTTTAAACTTTGAAAGAATCCTTATCACAAAATGAAGCATTAGCAAAATATATATATATATGCCAAATCATTTATTTAACTATTTTACCTGCTATTTTTGTCACAACTTTGATGGAGATATATATCGAGAATCTTCAAAGTTCCATTTTTTTAAAATAAAATTTTACCGATACATTTCTCTGTCAAAACTATAATTTCGAATATCATTATGAGACTGAATACTTATTGATTTTAAGGTTTTTAATAATCCAAACATGAGTGATGAATGGATTTCAGATATCGAATTAAAATATCGAATTTTCTTTGATAAATAACCTGTTGTAGAGGGCAGGAACGAAATTGTTCATCCAGAAAATAAACAAAATTACTGATCCATGGGTTAATCCAACTGCTAACCTTATGGCTATAAATAAAAAAACAACCAAATGGTAATTAAAATTCGTTTTTCTTTATAAAATCTAAATTTTCTCGAACATTTGCATCATTATTTCTAATTTATTTCAATTTTTAAGCATTTGAAGTATTTTTAATTTATTTTCATTTAATTATAAGGCTGGCACGACGTCAAAAATCAGCGGTACCATTAATAGATTGTATTGCTGAAACAAAGAGTAAATATGGAGTTGGTATTTTGTACGGTCGTAAAAATCTGGTCAATGATTATTATGAAATGGGAGATTCGGCTTTTGATTGTACATCTTAATTTGAATTTTTTCTTTTAAATTTTAAGATGAAAGGTCATATTACTAGTTGATAGATCTGAAATACAATTCTGAAATGTTTCCATTGACATTTCAAGAGGAGTTAAATCAATTGGATTAATGTCTCCTCTAGATTTTCTTGAAATCTCATTCACTGTCCCACTTCGTGTGTTTAAGTTAAATTTAAAATGCAGTTAAATTAGATTCTTTGAAAAAGAAGTAAATTTGTTGTGATTCTTAAATCAGGAATGTTTATATTAAATAATGTATCAAATATGGTAGAAAATTCCACTGACCATTTAACTCTTCAACTGCCATTTTAACGATTGTCTTTTTAGGTGTAATAATAGTACTATTGCAATAGCACTTATTAGTACTGAAATTTAAACTTGGGTTATTTTACCAAATACTTTCGTTCGTTACAGGTAAAGAAACTAAGTGCAAGAAAGGACTCAGAAACAATGGTGGAAAAAGTATGCAATTCAAATATTTCATTTTTTTCTGCCAAAATTTTTCGTCAAAAATAAAAATTTCGAGATTTGAGTATTGATTTAGTCAGACCATATGAAATAACACTTAATTTTGGAATTCATATCAGAAATACCAAACATATTAATATCAAAAATCTATTTTATTTATTTAGGAGATATTTATAGAGAGATTACATTTTTCTACAACCTTTTCGACTCTTCTCTGTTATTTTTTGAAAAGTTTTTTCTTCCTTCCGTTAAAATTAATTGTTCAAGCATATCATGATAAGGAAGTAGATGCGGTACACACAAAAGGGTCAATTTATTTGGGATTTCGAAATGGTTACATATTTTCCTATCGAGTGATTAATGAAAGGGAAAAATTCTCGGAAATATTGTTTTCACTCGATCTCGCGCATCGTACTGCTCAGAAGGGTACAATGTATTTCTTTCTTGTTTACTGAGCAAAAGCATCAAATCGATCGATTACTGAATTTAAAAGGAAAAAATTTTGCAGAAGAACTGGATAAGGACGATGAATTACATTTGTTTTCGACCGATGGCAAAGAAGCAATTGTGGTAATTTGTGGTCCCACAACATATTATCGAATATATAATATTAATCCATGGTTTGTGAATATAAAGTTTTCCTGATGTTATCATCAATATGGCTTGTTATCAGTCTTACATGTAAATGTCTGTATTTAATCAATTATCATGTCACAATTAATGATTATCACCGAAAGTATAAGAAAATGATATTTAATTTTTCAAAAAAGAAGTGAAAACGAAGTCTTTTTTTTGTACGTTTGATCTATATCTGATAATATTTTTGATCTGATAATACTTCCGATAAAGAAAAATAGCGAGAAAATAGTGAAATGATAGTGAGATAAAATAAAAAAATGACTGTGTGTTATGGTTAGATAGTAAACTAAATTTCATAATTTTGCTTTGGAATATTTGATTCTAAATTTTATAATGAAAAAAGTGGAATTGAATTAATGAATGATTTTTCTTTAGGAATGGTATTAAAGTTATCTATTTAAAAAAAGATGATATGACTGTTGTCAAGACACTAAAAAAAAAGTGCCGAAAAGTTGATTATAATGCGAAGCATGCCAAACTGATCTTTTTCATTGATACCTCTACAGCACATGAACTGAAGCTTACTTTTAATCATGATGGAGTTTTAAAAACCTATCCGGATCCAAAGCTGGTTAATTATCTCTTTCATCAATCATTCTGCTTCATGTATTTCTCAACTTCTCATTTTAATTCTTTCAAATTTCTAAGCAACTTTCTCTCTTATTTTCCAAAAAATTTTCAGTGTTTTTTTTTTTTTTTTTGAACATGAAATTAGTTAAATAATTGTTGTTGTTAAATTATCCAAAGGCAACTTGAAAATAAAAATTGTTTCTTTTCCGATTATTTTATTATTCCAATCAAAAAACTGTTTTCGACAAAAAGGTTCAAAATAGTCTTTCTTACCTTGGCCAGTTTCAATGCACAGATTTCTATTTAAAGAAATAGAAACTTTTAGAAGTTTTTCGTGTTTTAGCTAGCAGATTGCGCAATTGTCTTGCTCAAAATAATGCTAAAAATTACAATGTTATCCCACTGCAGTGTAATGCTGCATTCTGCGTGTGATAACTTGCAGATGGTCACGAAATTACTAAGAAAAAATTGAAACACTGATAATCATTTAATGCATCACTATTAAAGTTAAAGTTATCCGATGATTGATAATCTCTGATAGCAAATAATTTTCATCAATTTATTAATGTTTTCAGAATCGATTTGACAATTATCGTGGAAGCCTAAAACCATTCGAAGGCATCGAAAGTCAATGGCCACTTCACCTTCGAAATGGCCGAACATTATTTTATAATGAAAAGTTTGTTTTACTTTTCTTTTATCATTTGTTTCTTACTGAAATTATTTTGTACCGGTAGGAGTTCTTAGAATATCAAAAGCATCATTGATAAGCTTTGAAAGTCCTTTATTTGCTGCTTACCAGAAACTAAATCTGCGATACACTTTAAATGCCTTTAATTTTTAACTTGGTATAACTCTATTATTTTACTATTTTGGATTTAATCATTTTGGTGAACTTTAATATGAGATATTTTCAAGGGATAAAAGCATCGAGATGAAATATGAAATTATAAAGTAAGTAATTTTATTTCTTTCTCTTATAAATCCAATTACTAAAGTTATAAAGCAGCGAACAAAAGCAATTGATGAAACCATGATAAATTAATGAAGCAAAAAGTAAAAATTAAATTTATGAGATAGGTAACCGAAATAAAATTGCTTCAAATCTTCAGAAATAGGTTAAGTATAGAATTATGTTAAGTTCCAATTTAGTTTTTAACGATCAAAATAGAGAATAGCAATTTTAAGTTCTTATTAGTATTTTGAATTCTTATCACTATTTAACTATGGCTATCTTTTCATTTTATCTTTTCAGTTCAAGCCTAAAAACCGTCACCCACACAAAAAAACTCACTAATTATGGCAATTATGTCAAGGCGCTCCTATATTTTCCCATTGAATATATCGAAAATGAGTGAGTCACCCTCTCAGTTCTCTTTATTTTCGATCCTTTTGACATTCAACACAACACCAATAACCTTATCAATTAGCAATGTGATAAACTATTCAGCGCTTAAAAATATGCTCTAAATTAACATATTAAATTGACTTGAACTGAGAATTCGAGTAGTAACACCTAGCATTGAGTTAATTATCCAATTATTAGTTTAAACTATTTTATTAAATTGATTTAGATATATAGAATTATTCCGCAAAAAAACAGAGAAATATCCGATATCGTTCTACGGGGTAGTTAATTGTACCGTTTTTGTGATATTGAAATTTGAGGACTTCGAGAAAGTAAATTTGAAAGGCAGTGGTAAGCATTTCACCATCTTTACTAGAATGTTGTCCTAATAATGTCACTCCAAAGCAAAATAGAATATTATATTTTGATATTTTTGTTGAAATAATTTAATTTTTTCTGATTTAATATTTTCTAAAAATTTGCTCTATAAAATTAGGAATTTTAAGTGACCATTATTTTTTTTAACGAAAAAAAGAAAAGAATTTTAGGATGCGATAAATCGTATAAGATGCGTGCAATTCTCATCGATTCGTATATAACTGTTCTGCGTACTAAAGATGGTGTGAATGTTGAAGGAGTACGAATCAAAGTATCGATTGATTACACGGATATTGAAAAAGGGATCAAGGAGTGAATTTTGTTTCTTGTATCTCTGATATAAGTTTGCTTGTGTTTTCAATAGATGTAAGAAGAAATAAATTAAATACAATTATATCTGTGACATAAGTTTATGATATTGCTGCAGCATAAGATGACGTAACAAAACTTATTTAATTTTTGTATTTAGTAAAATATTTGATTGGAGTAGGTTTTTTTTGACCTCATTGTTAACAATTTTCTGATCAATAATTATGTCAAGCAACTACTAAGTAAATTTTGATATTTTTAAAAAATTAACGAAATTCTTTTTAGATCAGGAGTTGTTGCTTACACGCATAATTTGATTGATTCGGAATTCGAGAAAAATAATTCATTCACTATTGCACCTAATACATTTGATACCATTCATAATATTGATGAGTACACGTATTATCAACATAAGCCACGTACGGAATGCAAGTATCACTTCAGAAGACGAAAAATTACAAGGAGTGTACAAAAAGACATTAAAGACTTGTCATTTCCCGCATTAGCGGTAAGTTCTTTCTATACCATACGGAAATGACGGAAGGCGAATATATCATCAGATAAATGTGCTGGAATTTTAACACTTCAACAATTTCATTTTTCAGGTATCATACAAAAAAATCATGAAGGTTAGCTCATTCAAATTATTTTTTTATATTTCATTCTTTTTCGTTTTTATGTTTTTATCTTTACTTGTGCTCATTGAAATATTTCTTCAAAATGGTAATTCTATTACATTTGGCAAATGTAAACAATGAAGTCTTTCATAGAATTTTATAAAACTTCATAATTTTCAAATCATTCTTGAAATTCATTGTTTTTTAGAAATGATCGTAGTATGAATTACTTCAACGGTACTGTGTGGTTTTTGATATCGAAGTATCACTCAATCACATTCTAACCAACTAATAATTAGTAACTAATTAATAAATATTAGCGTTCTTCTTAGTGCGGACGTAAGAGATTTGATTAAAGGAGATCTGGTGTCATTGTTATGGAAGAATAGTAACAGTATCTAACTCTTATGAATTAATTTTTTTAAAAATAATTTTAGTATCCTTGCGATTTTGAAATGTCCTCAGCGATGTATGATGAGTCGGTTCCTGGAGTAGTTTACGTGATGAGGCGCAAAACTGAAGCTGTGCTAGTGACACCGAATACGATAATTACTGATACCTTGAAGCATGCTCAAAATGAAAAGTTCCTGTCTAATTTCATCTATTCTACATCCTTTCCATATGTTCTTTACAAGTTAGTCATGCAAATCTTCTTTTTTAGTACTTTTTCTCCAATGAACTATGCAACATTTAATTTTTAATCATATAGAAAGTTCATTTGTTATATGCATCTTAAAGATTTCTTCCAATAATCTAAATGATTTAAAAAATTAAATTCTTCATTAATTTTAATTTAAAAATTGCTTAATAGAACAGTTTTTAATCTTAAATGCTTCAATAATATTGCGATGCTTTATAATTTGCAGCGATTCCAAAGGAGCCTCAGTTTTAAGTCTCGAAAATCCTAGCGAGTAAGTTTAGTGCAGCTTTGATTGTTTTTGAAGAGTGTAATTGATTTATTGTTACTTTTCAAAATGATATAATCATGTCTTTTATCATTTTTGAATTAGAGGTGATAAAAATGAAGTAGAAAAAACTCAGTTACATTTGAATGAAATTGAAAATATATAAGCAAACTACGCATACATTAATTTCCTTTAATACAAAAACATATTTTATATAATTTATTTATATAATCTCAAAAATTTCATATGTATCCAAGAAGTGCAAAAATCTTTGCATTTGGTAAAAAGTAGAAATTTTAGCATAAAAATAACCTTCAACACCACATTTGATACTATTGGTATATACACCGGGAAGATTTTGTACCGAGAAGCGTAAGTGTCATTCATTTTGCTCTTTTTTTTAAAATCAGTAAAAGCTGATTTAATTATAGTTTCATAATAATTTACATTAATTTACACTTTCTCATTATTTTTTTTTTTTTTAAAGAAACTTTTTTTCTGTTAACATTCTAGTGAGGCAGCGTATATTTTGCATTCGGAAATAGAAGCAATAGAAGAACGAAGGAATGATACGGTAGCTGTGACCAAAGCTGTAGCTAAACAAGATTTTGAAAGTAATACTTTGTTCAACTTTTTATGAAATATGTTGTTGAATTCAATACTTATGTAGAAGGAACACAATGTTGTAATGACGTACAAACGTGAAAACGTCAGATAAGTTGTTCACGTATTGCAGCATACTTGTTTACTAGTGAGCACTATGCTAAATCTTTCCTCTTTATCACTGACATAAATTAACGCCAAAAATGTTAAATTTATTAGAATATCTTCCAAAATTAATAATTTCAGAAGCTGCGTTTGGAATAGAAAGTGAAATTATTGAAAGGCCAGAATTTCATACTCAAAAATGTCGACTTGTTAATGCGTAAGTGTCATTATAAGATACTTTTTCTTTGCATATTTCTTTCTTGTATTTTTTAAAATTCGTCAACGATAAAGTAAAGAAGACTTCTTAAACTAGCATATCATTGATTCTTGAATTGATCATATTCCGAGTGAGATCAGCATTTCTGCAATCAGCCATACCTAAGATGGTAAAATGTTGTATATAAATTCCACTCCTCGTTGATAGTTACTGGTATGATTTTAATGTAATTTATTCATTTACAGGCCTTTTTTTATGGCATTTATACTAAAAGTTTCCGTTTTGGATATGCTGCTTTTATTGATTTTAATCATTCTTGTTATTTATCATCGAGCACATATTATACCTGCGCGACGTCGCTATAAGATTAAAATGGGCATTTTAAAACATCGTAAGAAGCGTAAGCTACGTGATCGTGCACGTCGACGTTTGCGAAGTATGTTTGTTAAACCTTACAAATTAAGATATCTGAAGATTAAGACATCTTTGACTAAATTGTGACAATTTCTAAGCAGTCCAGTAATTAATGAAGAAAAGTAACTACTAAATTTCATTTCCAGAACTTAATTTGTTACGCCGAAGAAAAAAAATAGTCGAGCAGGAGACAGAAGCAAAGCGACAAGCAAAGCTTATTGCTGCGGCAGTTGGACAATTGGGCGGTGCAGCTGCATCAACTACAGAGAAAAAGAAGTCTTCGTCATCCAGTAGTGATCTAATAACAGCTGGAGCTGAACGCAATGTTCAGGTCAACGTAACGAGCAATTTACAGGGCGAAGAAGGTACGAGTCCTAGGCCAGAAAAGACCTAATTCAAACAATGTAAATGATTGTTTGAATTAAAAACTAAAATATAACATTATTTTAGTTTTTTTTTTTTTTTTCACCTCTTTTTTTGCACTATGTAATTTGATAATAAAAATTTTTGATTGAATTAAATTATCAAAAACTGAGCAATAATATACTATCGTGAACAACGCAAACAACTCATGTTACCTATTCACGTTCGTAACACTCAATCCCTTATCAAAAAATCTTATTCTCTAATGAATTTGGTTGAATCGAACTGATACGTATAGTGCGAGATTGATACAGCTCTTATATGATCAATTTTAGAATTTTCCCGAAATGATTGACTAACGAACAAATTAATCTCAGAGTTCCCAAGTTTTTTGAGATCAAGTGACAGTTTAAATCTGTCATACAGATTAATTTCAGACTTTCCTAAATAAATATGGCAAGCAGAATGAAACATGTAGAATAGTAAGAAATAATGAGAGAAATGTCATCAAAATTGTTTTAATAGCACCTGAATTAATTAATTAACCAATTAATTGCAATTAGTGAGCACTTTTAGTTGTTCAAATAACTGAACACATGTAGTAAAAATATGCTTAGATTAGCATGGAGCTATTAATTTCTGATCAAATGATTCGATAGAAAAATCAATCAATTTACCAAACAACTGATTCAGTCTAAGATAAAACTTATTTACTAAAATAAAAAACAAATAATATGCCACCTTCAAATCTCTGATTATTGTATACTAATGACAATTTCGTAAACCATTTTTGATACCATTACCCCTCATTATCACAGTAACATTAAATTGTCTAAACTCTTTCATATTTGCATAAACAAAAGGTTTAAATTTAATTCGCATGGAAGTAAAGCTTTTAAATTATCCTTATTTTTAGCAACAATTTTTTTGGACGGTTTGTTCCTTTTGATGATTTAATAACTATTAACACTTTTAATGATATTATATCTGAATAGTAATTAACCTCAGTTGCAGAGTAAGTTACAAAATTTATGCAAATGAATTTTTAAAATATAAGAGGAAGTAGAAAAAAGATAACCATCGGATTGGTAGGTCATTAATTGGTATAAAAGATTACAAGTAAAAAAAATTGTAGGAAAATAGGATTAGAGATGTACTGAAAATGAAGTTTTGAGCTACCAAGAAAATAGATAAATCCTTGTCAAAATATTTTTTAATTTTAGCCAAAATAAAAAAGTTCATCTCATATTGGTGCGATATAAACAAAAAATATTCCAAATAATTCATATGATTACAATTGAAAATCAAGAAATACCACTTTCAATAAGAGATATTTGTATCGTATATTTTATATTATTTAAATCTTATCAATCGTCTAAACAGTTCAATCTATATAGGAATAAATATGACAATATTATATCATTAATGTTCAACTGGTTCAAAAAAAAGCCCATCTCAAGCCGATGCTATATATAAACAAAAAATGATTAAGAAATACACATACTGAAATTATTCAGTAATATAACCATTATTAAATAATTTCAATATTTAATAGAATATGTCGAAACTTTTACTAACTCTAATAATGCTATATTCTAATAATACCAGCCGTTTTCGTTCATGTATTTTCAGCGGATGAACATGCAAAAGCTTTAGCAACTTTATCATTAACACAAACATATTTGATTAGTGGTGTAATGCTATTAAGTTGTTGCATTTTACCGCTTCTTTATTTCTGGTTCTGTCATCCGTAAGTTATGCTTTTCTCTCCCAAAAGTGATAAGATGCAATCATGTCGCAAAGACAATCTATTTTAGTGATTCAAAGCTAATAATTATTTGTTAGATGTTTAATTAACAGCTTTCAGAGTTATATGCAAATATTTCACAACTATTAGGATGTCAAAAAGCATGAAATTAGGGCTAGAAGAAACACAAGCAGATGAGATTGAATTAATGGAATTTGTGCCTGATGAAGCACCGGATCGTGTGAATATTCGATGTGATCCATTTTTTGACGATGTAAAAGTTAAGGTATATTATTTTCTTAATTAATTTCCTATTTGTAGGATTTGTTACATTAATAAGCTATCAAATTTGTTTTCCTTTCTTAGCAACGTGTAACATTTTAAGGCATTTCACCGCAGACATCATCATCTACTAAGACCGCCACGTCGACGACAACAGCAGCAAGAACAAAACGCTAGGAAAGTTTCACCAGTTAATAAAATATCAGAAAAAGGAAAAGAAACAAATGAAGACACAAGTAATGTACAGAAGGAAAAAGTGTCAAATACGCCAGAAAATAGTGTCCACAGAAGTGGAGCAGAACAGTTGACATCTACCGAAATTACCTTTTCCCATCAAACGCAGCTTCATGCTCTTTAGTTTCATAGTTTAAATTAAATTTCTTATTTAACTTGTTCAGTTTATGCTACTTATTCATATATTCCATGCATATTAATAACAGTAAAATTATTTTTTTCTTTTTGACACAAATTCAATTATTAGTTCAATTTCAGTTTGTCTTTTACTGCACCTGTAAATTGTAAAGTTTTTCCCTTTCATCCATATCTTTCATCCATAATATTGTAGCTTCTCAAAGAATGACTATTAGCTTAGATAACCTTTACAATATTTCGACATTGTAAGCAAATTTGATTTCGAATAAAAGAGTAATTTTTAACATATTAAACAATGCACATAAACTTTATTAACTATTGGAATTTTCCAGACAGGCAAATAAGCTCAGCTACTATAGGAAGATGAATGTTGGAATAACAATTGCTTACATGTTGCAATTTGAATTTTTCGTTAAATTATTTTTTTTTTTTTTTTTTTTGTATCTATAACATTTCTAATGTTAAATTATGACAAGTTTCAGTATTATGGATTAATACAATTTTATTTGACATATTTTGTAAGTTATTCGGAAGTTCGCGAGATTATTTCAAGTTTCGCAACAACATTGGATGTGTAAACAAGGTGATCAAATAGCAACTGGCAAATCTCTACCCAGCAGGCAGGATTTGTTGCTAAATGTTCGTAACAAAAAGTAATTTAAACCATTTTAACTTAAATCATAATTGAGATTAATTTAGCGAAGGATGTTCATACACATATGGTTATGATGACACATGAAGTATTTTCAAGTTAAAATAAGTAGAACTCATTTTACCTCATTTTAAAAACATGTTGAAGATGTATAATCATGTCACTTCTTTAATATTTTATAGCTTTTGCTTGCACCTTTTGAAAAGTTACTGTCATTATTATCGAAACAGGAGAATTATGACCATACTAAATGGAAAGCAATAAGGCAAAATGTCAAATGCGTGCAAAAATTTAACTTTATTAATTATTATAAAAAAACTAATTTTTTAGCTTTATAAATATTGTAAAATAAATGTACCCAGGTTTTAGATTTTGAAGAGAATAGCAAACACCATTCTCTACTTTTCTATTCTCATTATAACATACTCACCTATTTTCATAGACTTTTCATAATAATTTTTCTGTTTGTACCCTGTTTTGATATTCATGAATATTTTCTTTTATCATCGCATAGCGATGGTAAACAAAGTTTTGTCCATCCATAGTCTTTATTGATATCACAGACATTTTTTACCAATTTCAAACTCTTCTGTTACTTCCGAGAGCAGATTTTTGGAAGTGTATATCCATGTTACAGGAGAGTGAAATCCTGGACTTGTCCTCATGTTGACTTTGTTGAGACAAAGCGCATGAGTTGAACTAAATAATAAAAATAACGATATGGTAAATCTATTCATCAAAATTTACGATTAAATTAACACAAGATCCCTATATTTTTGTCGCTTAAGATGAATGATTACAATCACCTTCAATACATAATAAAACTAATGCAACTCATTTCTGCATGAAAAGAAAATCTCCAAATCATTTCACTTTCTCACTATTTCATCATATTACCAGCATCTCAAATAATTTCTCAACCTCGATAAACAATGCCAGGTTAGTAACAGGCCTCAAAAAACCCTAATTATAACCTACTTTTTGCAAACAACAAATTAATTACAAATCATTTGCAAACCAACCGCAAACCGTTTATAAGCCACGTACAAACTATTTACAAGCCATAAACAAACCAATTACAAACGTCTGCAAACTTGCTTCATTTCATGTACTAAACAAAAAGTTTTCTGTGCCAATAAAAAAAAGTAAGATGAGCTATCTCAAAAAAAGAACCTAGTATGACTGGAAGTGGTTCACCTTGTTTTGATAAAGATATTGCATTTTCTTAATTGCTTCAAAATTACCCACTGCAAGCAGATACCTAAATAACTTTAGACTGAGTTTGGAGGAATATTTTGCTGAATCCACTCAAAACTTCTTTCTGCGAGAAAGACCGGCACTTCAAAAATTCCAAGTGATCAATCTTCTTTTGCACGCGTAACACTCCCAGTTTTGGCTCCGTTTTGAAAAATTATCTTCAAAGCTTTCTGACATATGTACTTACCGTAAGATTAAGTGGTATGTGGCGTCCACTTTATATCCTTAATGGTAAATTGTTTTCAAGAGCAGTACAAGGAAGAAATTGATGTATCAAGGAAACAACTACACGCAGTATTCATCAGAACTTACGGATCATTATATCAATCACATACACAGGTGTTAATTTCATCAATATGTTTAACAAAAAATCATCTGAATTTCAGAATTGACTTTTGGTTTCTCAAAAATCAGCAGAAGAGCAAAAGAGTAAAAACCGTACCTACTAAAGTAGATATATCCGTTAATTACTAATGTTCCTGCTATTTATTAATTTGTTTTTTTTTTTTAACAAACGACTCACCTCATATCATTAATCAGCGAGCAACTAGAAAAACTTGCGATGAATTTTTGATTATGCAAATTATTTGTTTTCATCTCAAATACTGATCTTTACAACTGGTGATCACTAATTTTAAAATTTTATTTGTCAAATTCATCAATGAGACGTGTCTAATTTTTTCTCAGAAGCAATATATAATTTTTGTTAAACCTTTATAAACGGGACAACTCAATAATTTTCATCATTTTCGTCCTAAAAATATTCTATAAGTTAATAGGGAAAATTAGAAATAACAAACGAGTAATGAACTTCAACTGACATCACATTGCGTGTAACGTCACCTGAAGTTTTCACTAAGGTTACAGTTATGAGCGCACACATTTTACACAGAATATTGCTAAGTAGTACAAAAGGTAATGAGTATATCCATCTGACTACTATCCTAAATGATGAATAGTAAGCACGACCAATGTCACGCAAAATCCGTCTGCTCGCAAAAATGTGTACACATACTGCGGTAGTAGTGGAACAAAGTTTACCCAATGTGAAAACACTCGAATCGATGCAAAAAAAACATTAACTGACCCGCGCTAATTTAGTTTGTTAGTCAAATAAGAGATAGAAGCAATTCGGGATTGATTTGCTAGTTAAATAAGATGGACAGAACAGCGTTTTCATAACTCCACGATAATTGGGTGAAGAGGCGAATTCAATAACAAGTTATGGAACGATAAGGACGACAAACCCTTAAAATTTGCATATTTAAATTTCGAGGTATAGAAAGGAGCGTTATGGTTTAGATAAGTTGCTAAAAGCGAAATGATGTATTTCAAAACTCTTGGGCGACAAGCTAATTTCGATGACTCTTATTTTCTTCCGACGAAAATCTTGAAAATTATGTCTAAACAAAAATTTAAACCCAAACTTTCAGTTTACGAGATGATTGAATACTTATCTGTCGCTAATGACGACAAAGGATTGCTAAAGAAGAGTGAAGAGGTTCAATTCAGAATATTAGACTTCGTCACACTTCAATTCTTTGAACTCATTGGTCATATCGTCGGGAAAGCTCATCTCCGGAAAGCATTACATCGATGGATTTCGGTTAGATTGTATTTTTTTGAGTGTATTTTTTGCCTCCATTGTGAGACTGTAAACGAAATTTGAAGTTTCATTCAGCAACTTCCAATAAACCTTATTTTATCTCAAATTATAAATTTGGATAGCTGGAATTCAAGAATTTTCGTGACTATCTTTGATTTCCATCAAAAAAGCAAAACATGCTATCGTAAGTCACGCATTAGATACGGAATGCGAAGTTAATATATCGGTCAGAATTTTGCATGCTTATTTTAAAGTCATTCATGCCAAAATTCTAAGGTTAACTTTTGACAAAATTTGAAGTCACGCATTAGATGCGGAATGGCAGCAGTCAACAGTCACAATGCATGAGATACATTCCAAGGGCTTCAAATAATTTTTGTGAAGCGAAATGATTAAGTGACAGAGATGATAGCTAAAAGCTGTTACATGGTTATTTCCAAAATCTAATCAATTTTCAGAAGTGAGAAATTGTGATTTCGATCGATCTTAAAATAAATTGTGACTTGAATGACAGTATTTTCCGTATTTTGACTTTCATTGATGTTTCTCTTTTCACTTAGAAGCTTATTATACCATGCTGTATTGCTATTCCTAGCAACTGTTATACGAGCATTATACAATCAACCCTCATAAGTTAGGAATAATAATGAAGTAAATAAAAATAAGCAAACCAAAAACTTCAACCAAGTCATAAATGTAATGACGCTTAAATTGCAGTTGAACAACGTTAAAAAGACAGTCTGAGTTCTGATCAGTGGACGATGACACAGCCGAGGAAAGGTCGACTAAACTTCTGTTTTCATGTGAAATAAATTTCTTTTTAAATGATTATCGCTTTATTTTTCAATGATTTAACTAAATAAATATTCATCAATTACTTGCTCTTTAGTATTTTTGAATAAAATTGGATTCTAATTTTAAATTTGGATACGAAAGAAGATTTGAATTCAAAATGAAATTCATCCTTTAGTCCTGCCTCGCAAACTCGAAAACAATTTTCTATTATCTAAGTTCACTCGTCTCAATCTTGCTAAATACTATTCTGTTTCGATTTGTTATGGTTATGAATTTAGGTTGGATCATATTAGTATAATTTATTAGCTTGTGTTTAATTTTTTTTTTATTGACTTGTGTATAGGCGTAAGATTATAATTATCCAAGATAATTTAGAATAGTGGTCATAATTACAATTACGGCTAAATCGGAGCAGGCAATTTAATTTTCGTTGCCTATCAATTCAACTGCATTGAATTTCTTAAATTAAATTAATTCTTGAAATGAGTTCCAAAAAAACTAAAGTGTGTTGGATGATGGAAAGAAAAGTGGAAAATTTTGACAAACTGTGATGTAATATTTTTGTTTTCTGGTTAGAGAAGGGAAAAATGTCCGGTAAATTAACTTTTTGGCAACAATCAGCAAGGTCTTTTGAACAATGACTCATTGCTGTGTTACTTTAAGTATTTAACGGAAGGTTCAAAGGCAGCAACATTTCTTCCTCTTTTTACTGCTATTTAATCACTGCAGAGATTTTTTCATTTAAAAAGCAATGTTTCTTTTCAAACTGCGATTTCATGCAAGTCTAATTGACTTTAAGTGAAAAGAAATGACACAAAGTGTTATTCAATAAATTCGAATGCATTACTAAAACAAAAAAACGGACAAAGATGATAAGAGATTGTTAATAAAACTTAATGTTTAACACGGCTCTCATATTACTATTTAATAGCTGCTATTTATATCAATTTTTTAACAGAAAAGTTAGCATTCTCAATCTTTTCAGTTAATTTAATAGATTTTGTAAATTAATCCTATAATTTCATCTCATCACAGTAACAAGTAAGTAAGATATTACTGCTCACTGAGTGTTGTTCATTCTCAATGCGCAATCCTGAGCAGAGCACCAAAAATTGATTTGTTAAATCCTTTATTAAATAAAGTTTTGACTAAACATTTCTGGAAGATACCTGCTTGCACTGTGAATGACACAACAATTAATTAGTACTTTCGCTTTTTCTACTTTATTAGATGGAAAATTCACTGCAAACAGATTGATGGATAGATCATTTACTATATTATGTGTACGGCAGAAAAAAGTCGATTAGAACAGAGTTAAATAATAAATTTGCTGAAATGATGGCGATCAACATAGAACGCTCACACGTACGTATAACGTGGATGAAGCATTTTCATACTAACACCCAACATGTTAGCACAAGACAATACATAGTAACCTAACGAAACTACGGGAAATTTAGCAAACATTGTTCAAACCGTAGGTTTTGAACTGGTTTGCTAAATTTCTATCTGGTATCGCTAGGTAACAATGTTTGTTGTCTGTATTACTGAAATTTGTCTTTTATGAAAATTAGTATGTCCATGTATGCAAATACAGTTGATGCGTACAAAACGCCCAATAAATATTTTTCAGATATCTAGGAATGAAAGTTTATATGTAAAAGTGTGTAACATAGTCATGACTACAACATTAAATACTTATTTTTAGGACAGGAAATGAATCCATGTAATACCTTTCGTATTGTAGTTAGTAGAGACGAATGCGTTGAATGATGTCTGTTGTAATGACTTTATTCGTTAGCAACCACAATATATAAATATTAATCTGTAATATATAGTAATAATAGTAACAATACTGATAAGTGTCTACGAATAAGATGAAGAAAATGTATAAATGTATAAATTGATGGGAAAATGAAGTGAATTGTGAGTGAGGGAGAGTAACTGAACTGTAGTTTACTGGTAAAGAAAAATTGAGAAAATTGATGAAGTCAAGGGATTTAAATCTTTATTTTATTTGTTGCATTGACTTGCAACAAGAGCATGATTATTGAGTAAGGGCTATCAGATGACCTTTGCTCTTTATATAGTAAGAAATGGATTTTAATATTGTAGCTTCTCAAAGAATGACTATTAGCTTAGATAACCTTTACAATATTTCGACATTGTAAGCAAATTTGATTTCGAATAAAAGAGTAATTTTTAACATATTAAACAATGCACATAAACTTTATTAACTATTGGAATTTTCCAGACGGGCAAATAAGCTCAGCTACTATAGGAAGATGAATGTTGGAATAACAACTGCTTACATGTTGCATTTCTAATGTTAAATTAAGATAAATTTTAGTATTATGGATTAATACAATTCCATTTGATATATTTTGTTATTTGGAGGCTCGCGAGATTATTTCGAGTTTCGCGACACATTAAAAGGTTAACTAATCTTTCATTCTCTAATGAAGTAATTTCTTTATATCATTAAATGACTAATTCTTTCCTTAATCCTTAAGATAAGTTGATTTAACTTTCCTTTTTTGAAGAAAGTTGAAGTACACTATGTAAATATATAAAAATTATCAGTGAATTTACTTTTTGCTCAGAAAAAGAAATATAGTATGATTGGTTGTCTGTGAAATATTTGCTTATATTTTGAAGCCTAGATTCCTCTAGGCAATCAGGTAATTGCCCTAAAAAGAAGGAAGAGTTGGAAAATAAGGTTTATAATTGGTTGAGCTTAAAATGGGACAAGGAAAGTGTCAACTAATGAGATAGCTATGATAATCACAATGATAGTGTTCCGAGTGGAATTATATCAGCCAAGGAGTTTGGTGTTAGTTCATTCCTCTCTCAATTTCTCAATAGAATTTCATTCCAAAACATTTCCAGATCAGTGAAATCAGCATTTTTAAAAAAAAATTAGTCAATCAAATATTATTTTCTATTTTCAACTCTCTTTTTTTTTCAGTTGAGAAAAAAATTGTCTAATAGTGGGTAAAAAAGTTTAGCATGAAATAAAAAAAGGGTAAAACTACTCCATGAACGGATAATTTCCTTCTTCAGCTTATCCTATATTTTTGGAATTCATTCATTAACTTATCCTATGCAAGCTTTGATAGTTGTTATAACTTTTATTTAGTGGTAGGAAATGAAAAAATTTTTAACCGATCCATTTACAATGAAAGTGTCAAATCATTATTTTGGTGACAAATGTGACACCCGACCGATACATGTGCGATGTTATTCCATATTAAACTGTGACTTAAAAATTTTCAAAAATCCGACACTTAAAAAATGAAATTTCTTTCCTTTTTTTATTTCACTTTTTTTTTCAATCTGCATCTTGTTATGACATTATTGTTTATCAAAACTGATTGTAATACTACCATTGATAATAATTAAAAATTAGAAAATTTAGGAAAAATATGCATTTGAGAGATATTGAAGATATTTCCGTCCATAAATTTTGTTTTGTTATATTTACTACATTAGCACATTAATTCGTATTGTACAATTGACAATGCTTGAAATTATGTTAATTTTCATTTATTTTCTACTATTCTTTCATTCCCTTTCTTTTACTGAAATTTAATTAATCAGAGTTGTAATTTATTTAATTAGAGCAAAAATATGTGAATAAATTATTGAATGAAGAGAAACTTATTATCACATTCTCAGTACCATCTATTTGATCCTCTAAGTTTACAACAAATGCTGTATGTACTATTTAACAGATAAATCATCTCTTGCAATTATCAATAAACTGTTTTAATGATAAGAGAAGGAATGCATAAAAGTGAGCAAAGGTTTGCGAAGTTGGTCATTCCAAGTTCGTTGACTATTTCAGTATGAAATTAGGTCACTTCATATCCATCAGCCACTTAGATGCAATAAGTACAGTGGACAGTAGTGGTCAATTACACATTATTAATATTCCGATATAGCTTCATCATGAAGGTTTGTTTTCTCTCCTGTCGTTAATTTGGAAAGTTTCGTTTCGCCTATCTATTCGTTAACTTGTTAGGTAAAAAAAAAAAATATGTATTGCAAGATAACACTTTCAATTACTCGGCTAACTTTTCCATTTTCAAGCTATATACCAAAACTTTGGCTTTCTTCACAATTATTAATTTGAATGATAAATCAGTTACACACCTTTCAAACGAAATATTGATTTTTAGATGGTTTCGATTAATTATGTTTAAATTACCATTTAAATAAATTAACTCAATTTTTAATTAATTTTGAAACTGGATTAGACATCATAATCAGACTAAATGAGAACAGAAATGTGCGTATTTTTGGTTCATCTACCCAAATAAAGGAATAATTAATCATTTGATAAATTAAATACATAATTGGGGCAGTTTATTTAATGACTGACTGAAAAACTTCACTGACTTACTGAAATGAAAACCAAGAAATTGAAAATAATTGAACAAAAAGTTTCCATTGGAAACAAAAAAGCAAAGGCCATAAAATAAATTGGGAAAATAAAGTGATGTGAATATATAATTATTTGGAAAAAAATCAAAGAAATTAAATATAATCAATTAGTTGTGTCAAATGAATTCTGAATTTCAATTAAAAAAGGAAATGTTATTTAAGATTAATTTGCTTCCAGTGTTGCTATTCCCTGTCCTTATCAAATTATTGCTTCGTTATCATCGTTGTAGGTTATCATTCGATATTTAACTTTTAAAGTGTGCTTGTAAGAAAAGGTCATGTAAATAGAGGTTTGAATGTGATTCGCCAGAAAGGCGATACATATTTGATATTTGAAGATATCTGTTAAACTTTGTCTATTAATTTGCGTTGGTCAACTATGTCCATACCCCTTTAATGTCCTGCCAATGTCACCATTTTCACACTCATTTAATATTTCGTCTAACACAAGTATAAATCTAATTGAAATGGTGAAAAAACACTTATCAAGTTAAAAAACCTATGGAATTTCTTTTAGCATGATAAGAGATTGATAAACAATTTTCTTCAATTTTCGGTGACTATTTTCCTTTTTTTTAACTGATACATATGATTAACCTTATACCAACATTAGACAATATCATGTTATCACGTGAATCTCTTCTTTATTACACTGATGTTTAACAGTGTGGACATCTCAAAATACTTTTTCATTGGCCTCCATTGGTCATCAGAGAAGAAATGTCACGGTCAAAAATGAATTACATCGTTTATCATACCTTTTCTCTTCACCATTTATCATTGCGCACTTTGTCTGGTAATGATAAAACGAGACACTATCGAGTCATACCTTCTTGGGAATTACTTTTCTATTAAAAATAAAGCTAAAATAAAGCGTTCTATCCAAGCAACTATTAGATGAAATAATAATAATTAAGCAAGCCTTCGATTCCGCAAGCATCACATTTGCGCAGACATCACGATCCGCAGTCACCATATTTCTAGCCTACCTACCGCAACGTTTTTTAAACATGCAGCTCTAACGTAGATGAATAATTTTCGTCACAATGAATCCAATTTTCAGATAAAACATATAATTATTTACTTGTTTAAGGGTCATTTATAATTCTTAGATGTCATCTCTTGATGAATTCTTTATGCAACTAATGCTTAGTTAATAGATACTCCTAAGTGAATTTACTAAGTATCATTTCAAACTCCTTTCAGTTTATTTTATTCTTAGTGAGGAAAAATTTCAGATAATGTTGGGAATTTAATATTTCCCTTTCAGTATTCCTTAACTTTATTATGTATTGAATGTATGAAATATCAATGTTAGTTAACTGGTCCCTTTTTCAACACATTTTGTGTGCGATAAAGATAAAGTCGAGAGCAAATACTCCATAGTCTTTTGTCAAACCCAATGACCTCGAATTATGTCTTATGATAACTGATTGGTGGTGATAAAAGACAGCTGTTTGATGATACTACGGTCCTTCTTGATGTTATGAAACTGAAACTTTGACATGAGAGAAAGTTATTCAGCCAAGGAAAGTTTCTTTACTTGGTAGGTAAATAACCTTGATATTTCATAGCATATCCTTATCACATATCTCTGACAACTTATAATGGTAACTAATGATATTGCAATCATATAAAACGACACGGCATAAGTTGATTTAAAGTGGTTTTAAAAATGCGATAAATGATCGGCCATCTGTATCTTTGCTATTATAAAAGAAATGGTCAACAGAATTACTTGAAAAATAATTCCTAAGTATAAATCTCGAAAAATATCGAATCTCCGTGATAATATGAAACAAAAAACAAAAAATCTCCAATTCTTTCATTTTCAGCTTGCCCTCAAATTCTTTTTGTTCTATGCGTCCTTTATTTATTCCGTAATTCAAAAATTTGTTCATTATTAACGGATTTCTTTCTTATTTACTATCTTGGAAACAATTTTATAGTCATTTCAAAAATAGAATAATATCGAGACGATTCGATATTATTCTATTTTTGAAACCTTGATAAGTTTGTAGAAACTTACCCACTGTTTAGGAAGGATTGATCCTGTGATGTCCTATAGATGTTCACAAGGAAAAAAGCTGCAGTAAGAAACTAATGAAAAACTAAAAATCAAAGTTTAAGAATAAACATATCCCCCATTTCGCATACTTTCTTAGCAAATGTTATGCGTCTTGAAAGTTTCCGTAATGTTAGAAGAGTTTTCTGCTTTCATAGTTAAACTAATCATTTTCACTATTAGTTAATGCTTTCCAAATTGCTACAAACATTGAGAAACGTTTTAGTATTATTTTCAGATTTATCCGGAAGTTGTCGAAAGTTTGACATTATTGAAGTTTTCAGTCGTTTTTTTTATATGGTTATATATAAATTAATCAAAGTGCTTTCATACCCGTCTTATCAATTCTTGTGTTTCGATAAAAAGTAATTTGTGTCATTCTAGTGACATAGTGAGACAACCAAAATTGCTGATTGCCCCTCTTTTGCCATCGAAGACTGCTGGACTTAGATTCGTATCCCTGGAAGATTAATTTTAATAGATAAGCAGGCTAAGTAATAGAGGAAGAATTCAATATCTTCTGAGCTCAGTGATAAAAAATTTCCTTAAATACCGCTCTGAGGAAGTGAAGAATTATTGAATTTTGACATATTCATTGACAAAGTGAAATCTGATTAAATCAGACAGATGGATGTTTGAATAACTATCGATTTTAGAGATATGTTTGTATTAAATGAAGATACTCCATTATGGAATTCAGAAGTTCAAAAGGTCATGGTATTATACAATTTTACATTACCTCTTTCATTTGTATTTATATACGATCTCAGACAATACAAATATATTTTTGACATTATAATATAGCAAAATGGCTTAAAGCTTAAATACCCTCCTCCAGAGATGAAACGGAAAGATTATAAAAAAGTAATTAATAATAAAAATAACTATAATAATATTAACTCCCCATAGATAAGAGCAAAAAGTATTGGAAGCGATCAAGTAATGACAATTTAAATTTGATACTTTTATCTAAGAAATTACTTTTATCAGATCACAGAACATCATACATCTCCCGATAGCTGTCTTTGATTCTTTTTTTTTCCTTATAAAATTACTATCATTCTTTTACCTTGCACATCCTTCAATAGCTTACTGAGAAAATACGACATGTTAATTGGTTGCGAATGATTATGTTTTTACCGTACTCCTCAATTTGTTTATCATATTTTGTGTTCACTTATACAAATTACTAATATATACTAACGGATACATTTTTCTTTCCTAGAATATTTGTGACATATTTGTAACATTGACTTCTCCCTTAAAATAGCTTAATCTCATTATTTGAGCAATTTATAAACATCATTTAATAACCTCTGATAGCAGAAAATGCCTACAAATTTATTAAAATTTCCTTTTAATTAATGTGGTGGATAAGTATGGTCCATTAAAGTTGTCGTAAACTGAGAGAAGAAGAAGAGTTATATGAAAATCTGATCAATGTCATTGTAGAATAATCATTGTAGAATATTTGCAGAAATTTCTGTAATAAAAAGTGTCATCCTGAAAGACATTTACTTTATTACGTTAATTATTAAACAGTCTGAAAATAGGCTTTTCAGGAACTCATTAAACTGATGCTTTAACCTAACAATAAACTTATCCAATACAATTTTTAAAAATGCTCACCCAAAAATCAGAATTTACATGTAAACTAATTTCTATTCTAATCAGTTTTCTTTTGTATCAATTTTTATCTTAACTGCTATTTTGCAGATGATATCTTCATTTTCTGAAACTATAACATAATTCAAATTAAAATTTCTTCCATTTTCCACTCTGAAATCAAATCAATTTGAAAACGTAAAATAATTAATATTACAGATCTCATTCATCAGTAACGAAGATCGTTTCTTTGCGCTTGGTTTGGCTACTATTGCAACATCGGTGTTGACATTATTTGCTTTGTTGTTGACAGTTGCAGTGATACAGCGAAAGACAAATTTGACACAGTTGGAAGCGAAGTTACGTGCTGAATCATTTAAGGTCTGGAAAGCTAGAAATCATCGCTAGAATTCAAAAAAAAAAAAAAAAATCAAAAATTAAAAAAAAAAAAATTCAGCATGATTATATATTAACTTACATTATCTGATGATAACGGTTACAGATTGCAAATATTTATGGATGAAAGTTACTTAAACTCATGGTAAGAGTTAGGTTACATTAAGCAGTTACAGTTGCCTTAGTCTAGTTCAATTATATTAATCCGGGCTTAATCTGGCTATAAACAGTTGGAAAAAAGATAGTTTAAGCCTGTTGAAGTGACAGCATTTTCTGAATTGATAACTTCCGATCTAACTCTCTCACATTCGTATTATTGATTTAAAATAGAAGAATTTAAAGCGCAGATGTTAAGAAAAGAAGGGAATGAGGAAAACTGCGCATAGTTTTGGAGATGTGAAACAAGCCACCCTATATTCATTAAAAGCATTTGTAGACACAAAGGAACACTTTGTTATGTTTCAAACTGGTAAGCATTTTCAGAGAAGATCTTCGGCTCTGTGGATTGAGATAAAGCATGCCAAGCAAATCACTGGCCATAGTACACGTACCGTACGACAAGCTAATTCATTTCTTGAAACCGTCGAACGATGTAATAGTAAGTACTATGTTAATGTTACTAGCAAATTATTTTTTATTGCGATGACCCATTTATGAACAGTTAATCTGTAATGTTAACTTGAAATGCAGAATGTATGCGTTTAATGTGTCCGATCGGTGAACCTGGACTTATTGGACCACCAGGAGTTGACGGAGTTCCGGGTGCTCCCGGAAAAATGGGAATACCTGGTACTGATGGTGAAGATGTCATGGCTCAACCACTGCTATTCCATCTTCCGTGTTCTATTTGCCCGGCTGGACCACCTGGTTTGCGCGGTTCACAAGGAGAGCGTGGCAGATTAGGTCTTCCAGGTCCCCCTGGTCCTTCAGGTTAGTTTTCATATATTTTTTTGATCAAAATTGTCATGGGGGAAAATAAGGTATGAAATAATTCTGACTTTCCGTAAAATCTCAAGTCTTCTCAGAGCATGTTGAAATTGCACAGAAATTTCAAGAACTTCAGGTCGGCCTGGCAAGTTAGGTGAAAATGGACCAATTGGAAATAGTGGACCGGAAGGGCCATGTGGAGAAAAGGGACCAGTTGGACCTCCAGGGACGGCTGGTGATGATGCCTTCGGTCTGCTTAATAGTGTATTTCATTTTTTCTAACAAATTTACTTATATCTTTTTTCTATAGTCTTCAGTTATGGATACAGTAAATTCGTGATTAGAGAGCCAAAACATACTATCGTATCAATCAATAATGACTTGATGAAATTAGATTCAACCGTTGAATAATTTATTCTGATCTCACAACAGGATACAATTTCAGCAGGTGTTGGTGTAAAAGGACCGAAAGGTTTACCCGGACCTATAGGTCCTAAAGGGCCACAAGGCATCCCAGGTCGACGATCCAATATTCCCGGCAAGCAAGGAGAACAAGGACCGATTGGTTCACCTGGACTAGATGGAAATGTAAATATTAGATTTTAATTTTTTACCCATATATTCCTACTTCTAATTTGTTAAACTGAATGGATTATATTTCAATTGTTCTATTTTAGATGGGTATGTATGGCGAAAAAGGACCATGGGGTCCTCCAGGGGAACCTGGAATGCCGGCAATGTATTGCCCATCAGACTGTGGAGTCTCGAAGATCCTTGCGCCATTCTCATTTGGTTTCCCTGTTGATTTTAGTGATTCTTCCAACATTTATATTCCTACTCTCAATTCTACATAAAAACGCTACAATTCATCAAATCTGACTTAAAATTTGTTAAGTTCACAATTTTACTTTATGATGTAAGTGATGCAAGTATTGACTTTCCGATAAAACATTAAGTATTCACTTTATGCAAACGATCTTCATTATTTAACTGTTTAGATATTGCAGTTTAACTTTCTATCAGGTCTCTCTATCAGATTCTACCTGTAGAAATGATGACAGTAACCAAAAGATGATCAACATGAGCTTAATAATCCAAATAATGGAAATCAATGTAATGAGAAAGTGTGATATTCTTGCATCAAAAAGAGAAAAGTATCCTTGACTAAAAGAAAATGTAAAATTTTTCGAAATATTGGATGGACATTCATATATGACCAGCAGTAGTTAATATCAAATTAAATGACAGTAACTTCAAGAAAAAAACAAAAGAAAAAATGGCTTAAAAAAATCTTATCTATCAATAGGTAGACATAGCTTTGTATAACTGTGAATGCTTTACCCCTCAAAAATTCATGCCATGTTTCTCAAAGCTCTCTTCTCTTCACCAGTGCAACTGTTACATTAAAATTAGATTTGGTAAAACGATAGTTTGTATATTCAATGCTACTAAAGCAAATAATGTTGTAATGATTTCCCTCAACAAGTCTAAAGTAAATCCGGTATTTTCAAAATTAAATTTCCCTAAAAGTCTAATTTATTAAGAAAATTTTGAAAACTTTCCATGTTAATTTCATGTAAAATCATAAGACGAAAAGGAACAATGGAAGAGAATTTTTATTCAATTATTTTCTGGTTTAATTCAAAATGGATGCAACTATTATTGATTGATTACAGTTATTGTTACTGGTATTAAAGTCTTGTCCTCATTGATTTCTAATAGATTTCAATTATTATTATTAATCAGTCCATTGCACTATCCCACCCCTATCCTCAACTCATAATTTGAAAGGAAAAAGAAGCGGGAAACTAGGTGTTGCGCAAGCGCAATTGTACTTCTACTGTACCACTGCGCCAAGGGCTACATGTTCATTTATTGTATTTGAACTTCTAGCAAAGCAACGTTGTAATTATCTCCCCCAAATACATAACTACACAAATGACACTACGACAAGAATGGTTCCTCGCTCCTTCGTTTCCTTCAATCGATCGGTCGCTCTCGTCCTTATTATTCGGGAACTTCTGCAATATTTCCAGCACTTCAAAGTCTAATGATATTGAATTAGAAAATAAACCTACACATCTGACGTCATATATCTAAACTCTAAGCTGCAAACAGAATAAAATTCCCTGAGGAAGACGATTAATTCTTATCATTCGGAAAAAGTTGATTTCATAGAGAAATACTGTCCTGTCACTTATCAAAGCACCAAATTACAATATCTACTTTGCCTCTCTCTATCTCTTGCTTTCTTAATTTCGTACCATTGAAATCAGCTCATAATGATGATGAAAAAAGAAAATTTACATCACTCAGTGAAATGACACTTCTCCCCCATCCTTATTATTTGAAATTTTTTAAATAACTATTTAATTTAAATAATTTTCATAACTTAGAAAGATGTTTTTTGCTTTCTTTAGATATACTGAATGAAAGCTTTATTTTTTGCTTTCTTTAGAGATATACTGAATGAAAACAAAAGCCGCATAACATCATATACCGGTAGGTCCAATAAATAGATGAATGACTCAGATGTAATTTCATTATCATAACAAAAAGTGATCAAATCACGGAAATAATATGATACATGATAATATTCGATAATGCAAATCATTTCTGGTATTCGTAGTTATAAATTGAACGAAAAATACTTTAAGTTTCCACATATTTCACGTTAAAATTTAGGCAACTTCTCTAATATACGGACGAAAATGAAATTAAGGAAGAAAAGAAATACTTTTCGGATTATTTCAACATGATGGTTTGAAAAATTCTGAAGGAAAACATTTTCTAGATCATGAAAAAACTCTTGAGAGTGTCGAATAGACAGACCTAAGAATAACCTTCAAGAAGGAAGTTTACCACGATGCGACTGTCTAATCTTTGGAAGATAAAATATGCGCCCTCTCAGCCAAGGTCAGGCACAAGCAAGATGATAGGCTGAGTCCTCCTCTATCAGATGAATGATTTAGGCCTCTATCTGATGACTGATTAGATTAATAAATGTCATGTCCTTGCAGAATGTTACATCATTTCCTTTTTTTTTTCTTTTTTTTCTTTTTTTGGTGTGATATAACGCCATACATTTCCTATAGGTAATTCGATGATATATTCACTAAAAAGGAATAATTTATTTTAAATTTTTATACAATGGATATAAAAAATTATTACGGTTGAATTTTAGAAAGGTAAGAATAGGCCTGGAAGTGATTTCTCTCTCCGTATGTTGTGGCACCAAACATTGTGGTAGTTTAGATTGTTCGGCATCCAGATCACTGCAGCTACAATCTAGTAGTTCCACTCGTATCCTCAGCGTATCAGTAAGAAGTATCATTTGAATCTGACCAAAACATTGCAAGTTGTAAGAATCTATCTCAAATATAAGCACAGAAATACCCAAACTTCAACCATATTTGTCAAAAGCTCAAAAACAAATCAACGACAGTGACAAATTTCTCTACTTGCACATTATACAATGTAAAACACAATATAAAAAACAATAATAAAATTCAATAAAGAAAAACATACATTGTTTAGTTCTGTTTTGTACAAGTTTTGAATAATTTGTCGTGGATTGCTGTTGCCGAAAAGTTCAGCATAAAAGATTGGACAATGCTGTAGCCATTGTCCTGCCTCTGTTTTCTCGAAACAGTGCACAATCCAAAGTAATACTAACAATTGAACAGCTTCCATACAATGACGTTCAACTATTTCGTCCTCCAAATATTTCACACCATGTTGCTGAAATTTACAAACTTATCTAAATTAGATCAAATAATTCCAACTTTTCCGAATGCTTGAAAAAAAGCTAATATCTGCAGAAATGATTTCAAAGTAATAATTACTAACTTAACTGTTAACCAAGTCTTAACAAAACAAAAATAAGGGCAATAATCTGATAACAAGAAAAGTTTCCCAATAAATAAACTAATGTAAAAATAAATTAAAGGTGTAAAACGATTAAAGAATTTTGTCTTCCTGTATAATACATTGGAAGATTATACGATTTTGAAGTTTTTTGTAAAGTGATATATTTTTTGACATCAATGTTTGATGAATGTTAGATGCGTAATTGATATCATTTGATAATATGATAAAAATGCTACGATTCTTTGTCATTCTATCAGTTAGTCACACCGATGCAGAAAAGTTGACATTGTGAGTAAGAAAGAAAAACAAATGAATCATACGCACAAAAGTTATTATATTTATTAAAGGAAGAAAATTAATTTACAAACTAATTTACTAAATTTAGTTTTCCTGACATTAACTATACATTGCATAACATCTCAACAGCAGACTAATATTTTTAAAAATTCGCTAAGTAAAAAATTTTCTGGATACAAAAAAAAAGAAGACAGAAAAGGCGCTGAAATTACGTTCGAAAAAAGTGCGCTGAAATTAGACATAAAGATTAATGTTCATTTGTTTACCAACTTTTTCTTTTGATTAAAAAATGAAATAAAAAGCTCCAAAATCATTTAAAACATTTGGAGGAGCAAAAAAGTGAACTTTGAAATGCATTCAGTAAGTGAAAGAATGCTGAAATTAAAATGTATGTAATAAACGTCGGAAACATTAGTTTCTTTTAAATTTTGACTATTTATCTGTCTTTTTTGATCAAGCAAACTGCATGAAAATGGAAATCCATGAAATTCTGCAATGAATTTTGTGGTGAAAATAAGAAATTTTTGAGAATTTTTGAGATAAAAAATTTATCTTTTTAATCAATGCCTAAGTATGTAAAATAGTTAGTTAAAAAGACTGACAATGAATGCAGTGAGGCATTTTTTAAGAGATCATCGATCGTCCTTATCTCACCTGTAACTCAACAACACTAGTAAAACCTAATGCCATTGAACTTTGGGTAGTTTACGCATTTGCGTTGCAAACATTCTTTCTCCTCTGTCAACAACGACGTCTATTGAGATGAGAAAAAGTAAAACTTTATAAGTAAGGACGTGCACGTACGTATATAAAAATATGAAATGAGACTTAACACTCTTCAAAAATTCCACTGCAATCAAATTGCTAATGAAGTTCGAGCAATATATTTAGAAAAAAATTTTTGTATAAAATAAAACCATATAAATATTCCAAGAAGCAGCATTATGTTAAAGAAATCAGCTCTGGGAAACATTTAAACGAATCATGTCTCATGAAAATTCCATTTTTCCTTTTAAACACTTTTGATAATAAATTACTTAATGCAAACAAGTTCAAGCAATTTTTTGAATATTTCAATCGTATTAATTATGATGTAAATGCATCAGCTGAGAAGCTTTTCTAACCCAGATTTTGTTAAACTTTGACTTAATTGGCTATGTTTTCATGATAAGAAACAATTTTGGGAATTGCCTCTATATTCACTCAGGTTAATGAATCTTGTTTAAGGAATAAAACTCTGGATGCATCCGATCACTTAGAATATGGCAGCCATTTTATTACTCGCTTCACTTTTATCCATTATTAATTTTTTTTTATTGTTCATCTTCACATCACTCGAACTGTTAAAAAAAAAGTTTAGTAATTAGGTGAATGCATGAAATAGAAAGTTCAATATTTCACTAAATGCATAATATGAACGTCCTTTTCGGATGAATGTGACAGTCTTTTGATGTCCCCGAGCATTTAATGAAATGTTCCCATTTTCCTTTCACTGAAGAGTAAATAAGTGCAAATAGTTTTAAAAAAATGAACAATATATTTAGCTAAACCATTTTTAGATAAGAATGAAATTTATCCTCTTGATTAACAAGCTGCTTTTGCTTTTGAGAGAAAAAGGGAAAAGAAGAGTAGGAAGGAATTGCGGAACTATTCTTAGACTAGGTAGTGAGCATTGTAGAAATTTTTAAGTTGGAATTCACAATTAAATGAAAAGCTGAACTTAGAACAAGCTTAACAAACTGCATTGCTGCCGAAACCGGATAAAAAACATTTCTCCAAAAAGATTCATCAATTTAATACGAAATGAAGTATAATTTAGACTGACTGTTAAGGGTAATTTTTAGAAAAGTAAATTTTGAAGCAGGTAGTTAATCGCTTATTTGAAGTCTTGCAAAAATTCATTTTTTCTTTTAATTGTAAGAAAGAACTAAATGATGATTATTTCGCGTTTCAATTCTTAACCTCAGTCTAAACACTTGTACAAATCCTCTAGTTTTCGTAACATAACATACCAAATCCCATAGATTTTGCAGAAGGTTAATTGCGTGTTCTTCCTTATTTTTAACATCGGTAGATTCATCGATGAAACTACATTGGCGTACAAATTCATAATGTGAAAAGGTCCGTCGAACAGCCTGCAAGTAGCAAATTGTAGAAGTGAGAAGACAATGTTAATGAATACTATATTTTAATGACAAATAATGAAATATCTAATATTAAATTCATTTCACATTTCATTATGCTTCGAGATATTTATTAAAAGCTAAAATTCTGAGCATAAGATAGGAGATGTAATTAAGAAGAGTTGAACTTATGATAAAAGGCTATAAGTTAGAGGAATTAAACTTTTTGAAGTCACTTTTTTTCAGGAATATAAAAATTAATTATTAACTAAAAATTAACCCAATGATTACAGTAATATATCTTCGAAATAACAATTCCAGTCATAATCACTTAATCATTTTAATTACAATCGTGCAGCTTTTTATTGCATAATTTTGTGTTCGAATACTCAGTAGATATCCTAGACATGATCATTTCAAAAAAAAAAACATTATTTAATTTCTTTTTTCTACCATATGTATTATAATAAACGACAAGTCATTGCACATTTGTTAATATTTTTTACATGTCTAATCTTTTTTTTTTAAATTTTGAAAATATTTTGCAGTTTTGAATTATTTTCTTACAAATGTCTAAACTAGTTTACATATACAATCTTTCTTTTTTTTCTAATTTATGTAGACTTCTTTTCGCAGCTGTATATCATTTGCTAAATAGCAAGTATTGCGCAAGAATCATGCAGAATTCATTTGTTGATCTCCATCTGCTGATTTTTGTTCATTAGAAAAGAGAAATGATTTTCCCTCGTTACTGTAGAAAAAAAAAAAAAAAAAAAAAAAACGAAGTAATTCGAGAATGATAATAGCAAATATTCCTGACCCTTTTATCCTTTCTCCACTTACTACTTTATATAAAATCACGAAAATAACCAAGTAAAGCAATAATTTGTATTTCTTAAATGTACTTTTGAAAATACTACTGAATTTCATTAAGTACTGCAATGAATTATAAAACAAAACAATGTTATTATTTACATTAGTGAATAATAAGTAATTCCTTATTTGTCTTATTAATTTATTACCATTCCTCTGTCTATTTACCATATGCAACGATTTATTTTCACCAGCACCTTGTTTACCTATTCATTTACTTTTTTTGTCCAATACATATTATTAGCTTTCTTCATGAAATACTTCTTTCCTTTTTCCTGAATATTCTCAAATATGAAGACATGAGGACTTCCTACAGTTACATTTATTTCTTTTATAATCTGAGAAAAAAAAGGAAATATGTAAAAGAGAAAATTTCATTCCGTGAAATATCCCCTATGTCAGCAGAGTGCACAGAAATAGAAATTTACAATTTAAAGCTAAGTTGAATAGGATCATTTGCAATTCACTGAAATGCATAATTACACTACGTATCATTCAATAATGTGATATATAGGTAATCTAATAACTTACGTAAGAATCAAGTTAATTTAATTATAATTATATTGCTTTTTGATAGTTTTCAATTTAATAGATTTACCTTAGTTATGTTACTCTTTGATATCTGCTAGTTTACGTCAACTTTATAATTTCAAAAAAAAAGTAGTTAATAAAAGTTTTCAGTTTATGTTCCAAGCTAAGAAAATTTCACTTTCAAGCTTTAATAAATTATATTGTTTCTCCACTGGCAATAGAATTATGAATGACTTTCTGCAACATCTTCAAAACGAATTTTTTAGCTAGATGATCTGATTTTTTTTTTTTATCATTTACTTGCACTGTCTTGTTCTTCGATCTGAGCTAATTTGTGAATCAATTTTCTGATCAGTTCGAAATATTTAAAACCGATATAATTATTTGCTAAGAGATCAATCGAATCGATTTATTAGCTTTACAAAGTCCGAAATCGCAGTAATCTTTCGTATATTCGTATATACAAATTTTTCTCATTTGCATTATAAAATTCTCATTGGAAATGATCATTAGCCAGACTCTTGATATATATCTTATCTTCATGACAAAAACTTTTTAAAAAGAAAAGATCTAGACGAATCTAAATTCCAACCTGAAGTAGAAGAGAACAGCTAATCTTCTAAAAGGTCAGTTAGAGTGAATGGCTCCCTCATATCATTTTTATCAGTTGATATCATAGCAGAGAATATTTAATCACATAAGATTTTTTTTTAAATCTTAATAGGTGAGAAAAAAAGTTGGAGGCGTGGCATTTCATAGCCAAAGCCGTAGGCGGAGCAGGATATCATCGTGTGGGTAGTGGTGATATGGGGACGAGAAGGAGGAGGGGGGGACAGGAACAATAATCGTCGTTCTGCTGAGCATAACATTCCTGGTTTCTGGTACGTCGTGGAATGTTGACGTTTCTCAATGCGTCACTTCAGTCCTTATGGATTACTAACTTTCCACATTGCAATTTCTATCTGTTCAAAAGCTTCGCGCAGATGTTTTATGGGTTAAAAATGTCATCTCAAATCAAAAAAGGGACTGATATGGGTGCATGCTACTTAAAATAAGCACATTCTGTTGAGGAATTAAGATTGCATCTTGTTAGGGAATTAAGTACAGTTTTAAGATCTTAAGGATTAAGTACTGTCTTAAGGATAAAAATCGATCGACGATTACTTCTCCAGATTATAAGAATTAATGACTAGAAGATTTTTATCTATCTTACATCATTAGAACAACGACACTACATTTTTAAGCACCATAGATGTATATATATATATATATATATATATATATAATATTTATAAGGGGACACTAATAAGATAAGCCATTTTGTAAATTATTTAACGCACTTAAATTCCAAAAAAAGAAAAAAAAAATACAACCAACAGACTTCAACGTTTCAATTCATGAAAATTCATTTAGCAAAAAGGTAAATGAGATAAAATGAAATGAATGGGAATGTTTGAAATTGTATAATGAAAGGTATTAGTAAAAAGTGAACAATGAAATATTTGCGTAAAGCTATCGGTAAAAGTTAACAGCAACGCTATTTGTATTAGCAATAATAAAAGTAATAGTATCAGAGAGGGTCATTATTGCAATGACAGTAATATATAATTGCTGTAACGGTTAGAAGTACTTGTTAAAGTGGTAGTATGATTAGTAAGTAATTTTAGCAGTTTATAGAAGTATAGATAGCTATAACATTAGCATTAATTATATAGCAGTAATAGCAGTAGTAGTAGTAGTTGGAGTAACAGTAGGAGTAGGAGTAGTAGACCTTACACAATTAGCTTTTATTGTGGTTTCTTGCTCCGACTACTTCATAAATCATTTTGCAAAATTCGCAAATTATTCCTTCTCATCCAGAAAAGTTTTTTTTTTTTTCTAGTTGAGCAAAAATTTACAACTAACTCTGATTGCTTCTTTGCTTGCTTTTCCAGCATGAAATTTTTGATAAGTTATATGTTTTGCCTGCTTATTTAAGTTACTCTTTTTTGCAGAGTAGAAAAACATTCCTCCCGAACATAGACCTACTTAAAAGCTCTCAAATCATCTATTTCTCCCCAGTTTTGACTTTTTGTATCAAAACGATAAGAATGGATATGTTACTCGTTAACATATATATGAATGATGATTATGGAACTGATCGATTACGAGTGATCGGTTATTATTTAGCTAAACCATATTGAAGTGTAGAAAATGAACTCTTCAATATCAGATTCATCCGAAATTCCACTTATTAGTAAAATTTCATTCACTTCTCTTTCTTCAACAACCGTCTCTTCCGCGTTCATCACTCATCACATCCATAAAACTTTCTTCCTTCTATTATTTCGATCCTTTTTTGCTTCGGAATTACTTTTCATCCCTTTAATCACTAAAACTTTCTTGTTGCAGCACGAGTGCCATGGCCTCGGTGACACTATTTGCTAGGGTAGCTGCAACAGTAGTGATGCTAACAGCTAATACGAACGCTTTGGTCTGTTATGAAAATGATGAATCTGTGAGTGTTTTAATTAATGATATAAATTTCACACAATTTAACTATAAGAAAAAATATATAAATTCTAAGCAGTTTTGATTAAAACGTTTAATTTCTTCACTTGCTATTCAGGGCAAAGTATACGAGATATCAAATGAATCCTGGGATTACTGCGTATTTATCCCGGGTTATGAAGAAAGTCGAGTATTCGGCATTGGTCCAGAAGTAGATTGGACAAAAACATATGACGAAGCATTTAGTACATCGGACAAAATATATCAAGTGCTATCCATTTGCCTCCTAGAGGTTTGTGATAGTGGATATTTCAAATGGACTATTACAACTGATACTTCAATCAAATGATTACTAATGAGTGAGAGAAAACTATCAATGAATCGGGGTCAGTCACATCTCCACCCCGAAAAACAGTACACAGTTTGCATCCCCTGTCATATTACTTCATATAAACTAACAATTTATTTTCAGAAATATGATTTTGGTCAGCTGAACCCAAAAAGCGCTATCGATCCATCAGAATCGGTAGAATTCATATTTCGATGCATCTGTAGTTATGATCGCTGTAACAGTGCTACGACATTTAGTAACTACTTGAAGACGATCAAACTGGATAATGCTAGTAGCAGCGCTGAGAAGAATTGAAAAAAAAAAGGACATTAAAGAATAGTTATTTAATTTTTTCATTCCTGTTTTTCTTTTTCTCTCGTCATATCATATCAATTATTATTAATTCAAAAAAAAAAAAGCAGACATGTTGTTCAAACTCTGAATTGTTCAAAATCTCACAAAATTTTCTTGAAGAAAGAAGATAAGTTGGGAATGTTAGCATTTATCAATATTTAAAATCAATACTTCAAATTTCCGGAAATTGCTCATTTTTTGAAACATTTCAAATAATCAAAAAATAAGAGTAAATTTTGCATAGAAAAGCTTTCGACATAGTTTCATCTCATTACTATTTATTTTGATACAATTCAATACAATAATTTGTCCAATGTTAATTGGAAAAAATTTAGGCAGTAAAATTAAACAATGAATTAAATAATTTTATTGCAGTGTTGCTTTCCGGCATTCTTTTTGCATTTTGTGTCTGGAAGCTTTTATTGTTGATGACATTTTGTCATTTTCATTTGTCCACAATTTCCTCTCCAAATAGATCCACAAATATCACAAAATGCTTCTATCTATTAATTATAATTACTATTATCCTAGCATTACATAATTCAACGCTAGCTTCCATCATTATCCTAAATTTTTTTTCTTATATTTTTCATTGGCTAATTTAATGCGATCTCATTTGACAAGAAAAAATTAACATTCCTTGAAAAGCATCTATGGCATAAATCATCATGTTGTTCTTACACACATCCACTGATGTACCAAAGAGTTTATTGTTTTGTTTGTTTGTTAGCTTGTTGTTTATTTAGTACTTAGCAGAAATTTTCTGTCACCGAACAAATTTAGTTTGCTTTTCATCTCTTTTTCATCTGTCATCAAATCTATGTTTAGTGTGATAGGATGAATCTCTTCAGTGTTGTGAACTATTTACTGCCTATTCAGGTTGATTATTTCACTTTTCGAATAAAATTTTATTAATGAACGATATCCGGAAATTTGAAAGTTAGCAAAACAGCAGAAGAAAGCTTCAATTTATTTAGAATCATTTTTACAAACCGTTTAATGTTTCTCATTTTTTTCGGAAAAGGAATAGCGAATGAAGTAAACTTTCAACGATGTAAATTTATTCGCTTCTCTAACTTTTCATAACTAAGTATTTATGAGAAAAAATAGAACTACTAAGAAAAAAGTATGCATAAGATTAAGTTGTCATTCCCTGTTGAATAAAAGACAATCTAATGTTATAGTATCAATACGGATTATTCAAAGGTTCTTCTTATAAGAAATGTCATTTGAAATAAATTCCAGCTTATTTTAAACTTTTAATTTGAAGTATTGTTAATTGTCAATGTTCAAGTGGTATCAAACGTATTGACATCCCTTTGCACGACCAATTTCTATAAGAACGATTTTTCCCTGAATAATATCATGTAAAAAAAGGGAAAGTAGTCTTTGCTATCAATTTAGTTAACATGGAAATAAATCTGAAAAATAACAAATTTTTTTCTATGAAACTCCAAGTTCATATGAAAATTTATTTTATGTTAGAAAAAAATAACTCCAAGAAAAAAAGAGCTCGAGTTCTTCAGTTGCAAGAATCATTAGTCTAAAAAAATTTAATGAATAGTGTAGGTTTTTTTTTGATGGTAATACTTTATGATTTTAAAATTTATCTCGCTAGTTCGGAAGCATAAATCACTTGAATAGTAAATCAACCTTTCGGAAGTCCCAAGAGTTTTCCATCACTTTGACGGAGAAAGAGGTAAAAGGAGCATCAGATACTGTATCATCTTTCAAATCTAAATTTTTGGAGTAATCTAGAGTGTATGTTCTTTCATGGAATGTATCTGCCACTTTGTCACTCCGTCGATAAGAATAATACAAGAAACTAAACTACATAATAGAGTTAAAATTAATTTTCAACTGACACTAAAAGTGACGTCATAAAAACTATAAAATAATAAGAAACTTTGAGTCGTACTTATGACTCATTAATGAAAATAATTTTATGTATTGCTAATATGTCTTTAAAGCAATTATCATTTTAAGCATGCAATGAAGAAAATATAAGTGTATGAGAAGTGGGACAGATTACGTCGAGATCATGTTAATCCCAATGTTGCTAAGTAAAATAAGGTAAGATGAAGAAATTGTTATAAAGTTCGATGACAAGTTTGCATTTTAACTTTAAGATGCATAAATTGATAAGCTTCGACACTGAAGGGAATTTCAGACAGCTAAATGACCGAAGTCTTTAAATCAATAGATTCTGCTTTGATAGATTTCTGGTTTGTCACTTTGTTTACATATAGAAGCCGAAGGATAAATTCCAAATCATTTTGAAATGTTACTAACATAAGAAAAAGTTTTTTGAAAAAAATAGGACAATTCTTCTGGTAATACAGTCAACTGGAATACAAGTGAAGAGCCGATTTAAATATATGAAGGAAGAACTGTTTATTTCTGAATCTCATTTTAATTTTTTTTTTTTTTTTAAAAACTGACTTAAAATACGAATTATTAGTATGTTTGATATGACTGGATAAAAAAAAAAAAACTTGAAAGTGAAGGAAGAGGTTTTAGTTCTACAATTACTGCATTATGAAATTAAAATATTTTTTAATACACAAAATTTTTGCAAAATATTTTAAGAAAGATTTTTTTCTTTTTGTAGAGAATATTCAGCATAATGAAATATGGAATTAGACACTATACTTTATGAGAGTTGCAAATAACATGAAGACTACCTGTAGAGATATTAGTAGATGCCACTCTATTCTTATGATATAATGAATTTGTTAGAGAAAGGAAAAAGTAAAGCCAGGTTAAAAAAAAGATTAGAAAAAAATTCAGGAAAAAATCGATAATAAATTTGTTATTGAAACTAACATTTGGTAACCACAACTTTTTTAGCTGTTGTTCAAATAATTTTTATGAATCGATTATGTTTTGAGATTGAAGAAAATCATAGATACATCCATGATTATCATTCATCATGTCTTATATTCTCTGCTAATCTTTGAGGACCAGAAATCTTTCATAATCACTCTGAGATCAGTAAGAGAAAAAATGATTTCTTCTGGTCCCATAATTTATTATGAGCTATTCTAGGGAAACAAATATTCAAGCATAAGATCAACCATTCAATGCAAGCTAATAAAATCTAGTGAAACCTTTGCAATGATCGAAAAATCGGAGCAGCCGAAAAATGGTATTCCATGAATGAACATTAAATGCAGCAGAGAACTGAGAAACTGTTCGGAACAATTAGAACTTCGTTTTAAACCGATCCTTCGCCAACGTTGATCAGATGTATATAACAATTGAAGAGCCTAAAATGCTTTTACTTAGGAAGAAATGATTGTGAATTTTAATAAACTAAAATAAAGCTATATAAGATTCCAATAATTTCTTTTTCACTTCCACTTTCCTTTCTTCCTGATAAGCAGAAAGATGAGTAAATTATTAGTATGATCTTCCACTCCTTTTAAATTGGAAATGATAAAAGATTGGTAAAATTATCAAAAGAAACTTGATGCATTCCGCTGCTCAAAATTCTAAAGAATTTTGGATCTAAATTTCATATTCAAATGAGTTATACCTTCAGCTGAGGAGATTTAGTGACAAACTGATCTTTCGCCCAAGCCATCAGATCTCGTGTAACATTGTATAAATGTTTTCGTATATTTCCTGCATTGTTTGGACGCATCTAAAACAGTTAGCTCACGTTTTAGATATTAGCTTCGAGGTACACATTCACAACATACTTGAAATGAAACATATCCATGAATTAATTTTTCACCTCTAAACCATTTGCTGTCCTATGATTTTGAACGATAAATTTTTGGTGATCAATATATATTTCAATCCATCTTCATTAGCATAAAAGAGATGCGTCTTGTCTATCTAGTTACATATTTCTCAGTTCTTACCGCCATGAAGCATTCCATCCAATATTAACCTGCTGCTATGTTATTGCTCAAAATTTAAGCAACAGTAGTACGAGTACAAAAGAAAAGCTTCCAATTATCTGAGACAAAAAAACAGAGGAGTGAAATTTCAAAAGAATTTGAAAAGCTCGAATTATAACATTAAGCATCATTAACTACTAGCGATCAATTGCCTTATTTCAAATGAACGCTATTCCCTGCAAACAACCCTCTGTTAAATTATCACCAATCTGATAAAAAGCACCTGATCAGAGCCGGAACCACTGAAACATGCAGCTAATGGATCATCCATATCTGTATTCAATGATCCTCTTAAATTCTGGTTTGTAACAAACGGACAAAAATCATCTTCGAACCATTCCATACTTAGAGTGGATGCAGTTGTCGAGCAACGATCCTCACTGATTAGCTTTAAATTATTCCGCCTTAAAAGTAGCAAATAGCAATATTCGACATTCCATTCTTTTGATGTCATTTCACATTCTTGAGATTATCACAGAGTAACTCACTACCTATTGCATCAGAAATCAACTGATATTTCCTGCTTCCATGCCAACCTCTAATAATTCAATTACCTTTTATTACAGTCCGAATGAGACTTTTTGAAATCTTGAAAGCGAACGTCAACAATTCTTTCTGCTTAATCGGTATTTCACGATTTAGATGTTATCCTCTCTAAATTTTCAAATGTATAGTTACCAATAGACCAAAGTCAAGATTATACGGGTTATTAATTTGCTCGCTAGAGATTCCTGGCTAAAAACGAAAACATCTAGCAAGTTGTTACTATGCTAGATTTTTTTGTTTTCAACAGTCTAACTTTCTGTTTGTTTCACTAAATCCATCATTTACCTATAACCATTTTTTTCAAATCTAATCACGCGCATAAGGTATGACGTTTACTGGAAATACCGGAAGTTCAGTTCCACGTATTCTTTTTCCTAATATAGCTGCAAATATTTACCCCGCAGTGGTAAATATTTTTCTCTCAAATAAGATGCATAATATATGGCTAATTTGAATCTAACCGCTAATTCATTGAAACTTTGATATTTAACACCAGTTTGGATTTATTCACATATTTCTTTTTTATTATTTCTTTCTGAAAGCTATCCATTTTCGAATTCATTAAATATGTCACCAATCACTGGGCGAGCGAAATCCGAGCAAACTTTACCCAATAAGAGAATTTCTATTTGTTGTTAATATGCAAGGCATCATCGTATCGACAGCTTCATCTTCGCTTGATAATATCTCTGCTCCAAAAGTACCTTTCGCACCATTTGATCTACATTAATATATGATGTAATTTAATATGAGTCAGTAATAAAATTCAAAAATAATTAATAGTTCCTTTCATAAGTAATGAGGAATAATGAATGACACTATTTGAAATTATTCGTGACAGTAAATAATTGTGAAAAGAAAAGGCCTGAGTATGTAGAAGTATATTTTAAGAGGATAGGTTCGTGAATAAGAGGACGTCAAAGGTCAAGGTAAACATATTAGCTCTCTCTTTAGGGTTTTCGCAACAATTAGCAGTGCGATAACTTCTGATTATGTGAACATTTCAATTTTTTTTTGATTAATAACTAACTAACTTTCATTAATAAGTCTAAGTCTTGATAAAAGCAAAAAGTTTTCATTTTTTTAAGACACTGTGTTCTACTCCAATAAACATAATTGATTTCAATAAATTATGGTTAAAATGAATTACCTAATTGATGACTGCAAATTGGACGTTGAAATAGTCCCCCTGCTAATCCCACTGTCAGTCATTGACGTTATCATATGACTTGATGAAACTACCGATGTTGTAGTGAATGGCTGCACCAATTCAAGCAACCTGAAACTTCAAATTCTTTTAATGAATGTTTGTACTTTAATACTAATAAATGCTGCTGATCGTACATCAAATACTCCTTTATATAGCAATATCCCCATAAATATCAATTTTCTATTTCCGTAATTATGCTCTTCGATCATGCCTATTTCCATCAAAACATTATCTTTCATAAAGCATGATTCTTAGGTTAAAAAGAAGTTAGTAACTACTTACCCATCCGACGGTGTATTAGCAATAAGTCGTCTTCGCAGAGATGGAAATGATTGGGAACTACGTTCGCTGGATACTGATATACTGTTGGTTCGAGTTATAAATCTGTAAGGTATTTTAAATTCAAGACTTATTACAAATCGAGCACTGAAAGAAAAAAACATTTTTTACCATGAAAATAACTAATTTACCCAGCAGTAATCTGGTAAAGATGCTTAGAATCGACCATACAATTTTTCTGGATGAAATCGTTAGTGTCGAAATCAGTATGCTTTTCTTCTCGATTTGACTGAAAGTTTACAAAGACAAGAAGTGAAGTGTTTGATAAAGTACATCTAAAAAGTAGTCTCCAAAGATCATAAGTAATGATCATCGATAGACTGCAGACAGGTAACAGAAGAATACATCTATAAAAATCCTTTTCAAAAGTTTCCTGAACTCTTCTGATTTCACTATCACAGTAATCTTAATATGCTAAATTTTTTAAAAGAAATACATAGTATGAAATAAAAAATAAATATAGACAGAAATTTGGCAGAATTTACTGCCGATTTAATATGTTTTTGACTAAAACATTTCAGAAACTCAACCTAAATTTTTGGAACAAACCTAAAATCTGACTGTAAAAAATCAGTTACATTTTCAGAATTCTTTTGGTCTTCTTCATTCACCTTGCAGCGGTTATCCGGTTCTTCAAACAATCCTTTAGCAGCTTGAAACTCGGTCATATTCGAAACATCAGACGATGCTGAATACTGATCATGTTGTACTGCTGCACCTAGAAATGGATGAATTTTAACTTCCAATTTCAAAATACACAGGACTCGTCATTCTTTAATTCTCGTTGATTTACTAAACAGAGATAAAAAACTATTTGTTCCTCTAAACATTATTTCTTCCTGAAAATTAATTATAAAAATGAAAGGGTGAGGTATTTTTCTTTCTCTCGTCCGTCCTATCCTTTAAAGAAAAATGAAAATTCTTATTCAAAAGAAAGTCTTTAATCGAACGATAATATGATTAAATAGAAGTATCGCAAGAAATTAAAAAGATAAAATTGCTTCTCAAGCAATTCAGAAATGAGTTATGCATATGATAGTAGAACACTAACATTATCAATTAAGTCTTGATGATCACCTCCCAAGAATAAAGTCATAAGTTTAATCGTCGTAACATGAGTTCCCGTTATTACATTACACTTTTAGTTATTATGACTAAGTATTTTAAGGATGATTTATTTTTAGGAATGAAAAAATCTAATTCCTGGACAGTTAATCAGTAATTCTTCCTTCTAATGTAAAGCTGAATAAGGATCTTTTTTTCATGATTACCAGTGAAAATGAATTAAATGAATACCATAAAAACAGAAATCGGTTGCCTCATCCCATTGTGGATCATCCCAGAGCAGATGCAACGAAGCAGACTTTTCACTTGAAGTAAATTCTGCATTGGAAGAACTTTGCGAGGCTATGCTTGCGGAATATTTCCAGCTGAAAAGTTATAATACATTTTTTTTTTTTTTTTTTAATTCTTTAATGGAACTGAGTTTCTTAACTCAATTTCATCAAAGTTTCACTAAATAGTCAAATTTCTGCTATATATATAAACAGTGAGTGAAAGGCTAAAATAGGAAAATGAAAAATAAAACAAAAAACAAATGAGATATATATTCAGCAAGCAGCATTAGATATATATTCAGCAAGCATTAAAGAAAACACTCCAACATATCATTTTAACTAAGAGTCAACGTAACGTAAGTGATGAATAAAGTTGAGTGATTGGTATTACCATGCGTCAATAGTAGACATATTGTGTAATTGTGTGTGATGTTTCGAGACTTGTCAAAGATAAAAAGCCTCAATAAAAAGTAAGCGAGATCCACTATATAATAAGCCCTTGTTTATCACTATGCACATATCCTTAACAACACAAAAATATGATTAGAAAACTTACTGCTCTGAAATTATTTTTGACTGCTTTCTCAAACTTTTAACTGAGCCGATGCAAAGCTGTCTTGTTCGTCGCAAGTGATCCTGAATGGTTAGAATTCAATGTACGTATATATATATATATATGGAAGTACTGAGAATTTTAACAGATAATTTTACATCGATACTCATAATTTAATTCATAAAAATTGAAGCATGCCGAGGATGGCACTGTTGCAAAGACATGACTGTCGCAACTGTTCTGTTCATCATCTGTCAAATCTGCTGAGCAACAGCTATCATATTCATCACTGGCTATATATGACTGAAAAAAGAAAAAAATTAGATAGAATCCTACTGAAATATTCTTCAAGTTTGTTTTTGGCTTCAGTCATGACTTTTGCTGAAGAAATGTAAATTTAAATTTTAAAGATACCCGAATAACGGCAATCAGATTCAGTTTTTTTTTTTGTGATTAAAACAAAGCAAAACGATGAGAGGACTGATAAAGAACTAATATTTTTAGCCGAAATTATGGTAAAAGTCAGAATGCTATGAAAACAGATTTAGACAGTATTAATTCAAAACATTGATAAGGTTTACAAAGAAAAAAGTCTAGAACTAACCATTCTTGGTTTCAATAAATACGTCTCATTACGAGTAAGCAAGTCAAAACGTGCTTGTTCCAAAATTGTCCAAACGAAATTTTTCCCCAAAAATCGTGCACAAACTCGATACATCATATAAGAACCAACCGAAGCAACCAGTAATACACTGCTTGTGCGCACTAAAATGTCGATTTATGAACGAAGAACAAATTCCCAAACTTCTAAATTCTCTATCTAAAGAAAAATCCAAATCTATTAAAAGAGAAATTCAACTTTGCTAAGGTTGCAAATAATATAGTTTGGTAATTTGGATCACATATATCACACATTTATGTCTTGTTCTTCAATTTTAATTTGACTTTTTTAAGAGTAAAAGTAACTTACAGCTAAACCATTCAGTAAATTAGCTTAGCTTAAAATAAATGAACCATTTGAACTTTTTCTTCTCCTTCGTTAACAAAATGTCTAAAAATAAGGAGTAGAAAAGTTTATTAATTTCTCTAATTATAAGCCTCATTTCATCCTCGAAAGATAACATGGGAAAAGTCAAACTAAATGATTAAACAAAGAGAACGATTTCATAACCAAAAATGTGATTCTTCTGAGAAAGTAATGAAATTAAAGATTTTTTATTTCGCTTTTATTTTTTTAAAAATTTATTCGACTAGCATTCTATTAGAATGACATTAAAAAGATTTTAATAACGAAAAAATGACCGAAAGAGTTAGATTTAAAGAAGAGAAAAAAAAAGAATTTCAATATTTCTATGGTCAATTCATCTTCTGAAATTTGAGAATTAGTTGTTTTCTCTAAGGAGTAATCAATTCATCACCACAGGGAGTAATACGAATTTAAATCACTGAATATATCTGCATTTTACAACAAGAATATAAGCTTTTTCTTCATTTCTAGATTAAATGAAAAATATCTCTGGCATTTTTAGTTTCATATGTATAAGTAAGCTTAAACTAACGATGACTATTCTAATCATTGATTGATTTAGCTTAGTGTCTAACTTAGTGATATTTAGCTCAGTGACAAGAGCAAAATTATGTTGAAAGGGGTCGATGTTAACAATTAAAATTTTCTTTTCTCCTTTTTTTATTAATAAAATGTACTATAAAATGATTAATTTTTCTTCTGAAAATTATAATCAAAACTACATGTGACAAAGCTTTTTAAGAAACAAATTTATAACTATCAAATAACAAAGTGATTCTATTTTAGTAATAGATAATTAAGTGTTGAAAAATACAGCTAATGACAGAAGATGGAAAATTAAATTGCTAAGTTGAAAAACTAAACAGAACAATTGTTCATTATGTTTTTCCATGATTTACTGTGCTAATCGTCAACTTTTTTCATTTCTTGTTCTTGTTTTCCAGAAAAAAAAGCCGAAAAATCCATCTCTAAGTACCGCATATTCTCGAGACTTTAAATATAATATCAAATATCTGCCGCTTCAACGAGGAAATTGGATTTTATAAGTTCACAATGAATAATACTGGATGATAACAGTAAAGTGATTAAAAAATTACTCAATGATAGCAATTTCATGATCTGAACAGGATGAAATTTTCAGTGTATCTTCTGCTACTCTCGTCCCCCCATCCACCATCTGTTGAAAAATAAGGAAAATTTTAAGAGTTAGAGTCTTGCATCAAATGTGCAGGCTCCGAACTTAAGTTATCATTTTAAAATTAATCAAGAAGACAATTGCATTCTGCAGGTTAATTATGAATTAATCAAGAAGATTAAAAGGACAATTAAGAAAACAATAATTAATCAGGAAAACAATTGTATTCTGTGGATTAATTATGATTATTTACAACCACAAAATTCATCAACTTAAATCTTGAATGCGAGAACCTGTATGCTTTAATTTATCAATATAACAATTTAAAACACATCAGTTCTTTGGCATATGATGCTTATTTTTCAGCTTCAATTTCATAAAGCAGCAAATAAATATTAGTCACTTAATTTAAAAATTTTACTATAGATCAAACAAATAAATCTGTGTAAAATGATAAAAGCAAATATGATAAAACATACTTTTAAGCTGTTCCAGACACCTATTTCTTAAAAAATTTCAGTTAAAAGTTAAATTTACCTTTCACAGATATTTTAACGGTCATGTCTTATGACAAGAAGTATCATTAGTGAAGTAATGACAGAAAGAAGCAGAAATTCTCTCTTCGGAGTTAGTTACCAAAAAGGAAGTTAACTCAATTTTTTTTTTCCATAACAGAAATTATAACTCAGCTTTCATTTATCATTTCTTTTAAGCATTTTAGATTTACTGAAGATGAAATTATTCAAGACCGCTTAAATTAATTATTAATTGTGCTCTCAGCATCAAAGCGTTAAATGAAATCTTTTGTATTTTTTTCTTGAAATTATATTATGTATTTTTTTAAATGATATTATGTAAATGTTGTTTGAAAGCAATTGTACTGTAGTAAGGAAAATCTATCACATTTAAAAGAATCATTTGAAAAGAAAAAGAATCTCAATATCGATCAAATAATACGATCACATAGTAATGTACGAAAAATTTGCAAAGTAAACATTAAGCTTCACATTGATTTTACAAACTTCCAAAGGTTAAAGTTCCATACTATCAATTTGTTCTTCACGCCAAACAAAAATTCCTTTTCCTAGAATAATTCCTAAACCATCTTTCTAAATGCCTTTGTCAAATATGATAAAGTGTTGTTTGTTTGAAAATATGATGTGGATCAACATGAAATAGATTCATTTTTAAAAAAAAATTCCAATATCGACCTAAAAAGATTAAATTATCTCCAGAATTTAATTCATTTCCGTCCGATGAAATAAAGGATAGGAGTTGTAGTGAAAATGAAATATCAGTTTAAACATTTAGAAAAAGCCTAACGTTATATCCGAACCAGATAAATCATCCCAGTGAACTAACTGAGCAGCTTTATTAATTATACTCTTATTCGCTTCCTATTTTTCTTTTTTGCAACTTCTCGTTTTAAAGTATAATCTAATAAATATATTTGATTGACGAATTATAAATCTGACGTTAATTTCTCAAATCTTTGAAATTTCAAAAAAATCCAGAAAAAAAAAAACAAAGCAAGCAACTTACTAAGTAGAGCAACATTGCATTTATCGGCATCAAAGGAAATACCCATTTGAGAGAATACAATATCAGGTGGTCCCTGAAGACGTGCCTCAATAAACAATACAGGTAGTGAAACGGATAGACTCTTCATTGGTAGCAATGACATTTTTTCCCTGAGCACAGATCCGAAATGAAATGAGCTTTTCAGTTCAAAGAATCATAACAAGCATCGAATTGTTATGTGTTGAAAATGGACCATATGATGTGAGAAGAGTAGACAACCAACCATACCTGCTGCATAATTTCTCTTCAAACATTCATTTAATTGGCAAATCTATTATCAATTATTGGAGAATATCAAATTCCCAGTTATGACTCTAAAATACTTCAAACGAAAGTAATTTATTTAAATGAGAAACAATAAAAAAGTATTTGTCTGTTTTGCAGAAAAATACTATAATTTGCAACAAAAACAAGAAAAAAAAAGGATGAAAGGAATGAATTTTGATAAAGAAGGAATGATTGGATAGTTATATACATATATATGCAAATCAGTATCGATTATCACAATACATTGTTGTTCACGTATGAACAGTGAACGATTACGTAAAGTGCACGTATGTGACAGTAAATAATAAAAAGACAAGCCTATATATAATACGTCAATTATGCTTATATATGAATATAAAAATATTTAATATAATATTTCATAATTCATTTCAAAGAAAAAAAGTAACTGTGAAATGTTTGTTAGCAGTTGCTATAGAACAGAGATGAAATTAATGTGAAATTGATAAGATTGCAAGCCTAAGTAGACAACACTAACACTATTGTGTCTAGTTATCTTCTCTAATGACATGCTTAATTTTTTTTATGAAATAAAGAGAAATCATGGATTTTGCTTGAAAGTAATAAGTATCCGTTTCATGTAATCATCACTGAATGAAATGAAGTAGGAAAAAATGTAAACATTGCAATGACTCATCAAAATTATGGAGCTCTCTCCCTCTCCCTTTTTATTCCCTCTCTCTCTCTCTCTTTCTCTTTTATGTAACATAAAATCAAAACAGTTTAATGATATAATTAACAAGCAAAAAACAATCATTATACAAGGTGAAAATAATAAATCTCATGTAACGTTCATTCATTCTCATTGTATTAGCAAAAATGAAATGATATTCAATATAAAGTTTATTCCGGAAGATAACTGTTACAGTCCTATCTCAACTTATTACTATTATAATCAGCTATTCAACTCCTTAAATTATTTATAGTCTCTTCGATTAGAATTTAATTATTAGAAAAAAGACGTAAATTATTAGAGTAGAATGTACGTGATTTGAAAACACGTTTAATGGGATCGATCTTTAGTTACTGATGGCGTGGCGTCTTTGAGTAGTGTATTTCACAGCTGTTATATACCGCATGACATGAAGACACACACGCAGGCAAACTTCCTCAAAGATGAAATTTAGTTAAAATTGAGCAACGATGAGCGATGACCTTGGAGCAGTTGAGATTTGGCGCACTGTCACATACAATGCTTCAAATAATTCAGAAGTAGGAATAAAGTCAGTGAGGAATGCTTCTAACTGTTCACGTTTACATCTATGTTTGCTTAATAATTGATAAGGCTGAAATAATTAATCTGACTGATATGCATTTTATCAGATCAATGTAATATCTTTACTAAGTGCGTTAATCAAATGTTAATTGGAATTAACAACTCAAATTATAATACACTTCATCAAATATACTTATTCAATAAATAAAAACAGTAGATTAATAAAAGTAGGTGCAAAAATAGCAGTAATGAACAGTGCAAGAAAGACGACCTTATCGGATATACTTACTTGACAAGCAATTCGTAATATAAATAACACAAGAGTGATGAATTATTTCTCATCAAAAGTGGAATACCATTTGGGATAGCTTATGATCATAACTAAAATTATTTTTGTCAAATTGGGATCATGAAAATTCTATACTCATTAATTCATTATTTCAGTAAATAATTATATTTCTTTTATCCGAAACGATTAAGAAGAATTCTTAAATTCTTATCAAAATTGTCGCACACCAAAATTAAATAATAATTGTAACATTCAGCACATATTTTTAGGCAAAAATTGATTGAATGCAATATCCCTCTAACTTCTATTATACTGGCTTCTTTTGCACTCTCAGCCAGTATTGAACTGAGAAACTAGAAGAAACACAGATAGGAACCGGTTACTAAGTTTGCAATACATGCAAACAATTATTGATGATTATAGTATTTTAAAAATTTCAAGTTTGTTATTTCAAAAATAACTGCCTATAAGTATAAAATTGTATACAATACGTAGTTTTAAGTGAAAAAAAAAAAAAAGAAAAGCTTAAAAAATATTTCTCAATTCCTACTTATTACTATATTCTTTGCATAATGTTCTTCTTTTAGATATACGCAAATTCTCTCTAAAATCATTAAAAGACGAACTTGTGGAAACTAACAGTAAAAGTTAAAATGAAAAAATTGGATTGAAAGAAGAAAAGAAAAAGGAAGATTGGAATGAGAAATGATAGAATGAAAAAATGGCACGCATCTTCGAAGTGCGCTTTTGCCAGTTGCGATTTCTCTTAACAGACACACAACAAATCGATGCCGCCCAAGCACTTATCCTTCTTTCATTTTGCTAGGGCAACTAATAATCCTATAAAATATTAGTATAAACAAAGCCATGATCCCTGGAATATGACATGAGCGGGGTTTGGGAGGCACCGGATGAACATTTAAGATCTCCCAGCTTAGCTACGATTTATAAATTTAATTGTAAAATAGTACACAGTTGGGGAAAGTTGAAATACTATGTAGTGCAGGTAAGAACATATCCATATTGTCGTACTAATATTCGAATAATAATTCGGTTACCGACATAAGTAGTATCAAGGTGACTGTCCTACATCCATCCACTGAATTCACCCAATCATAAAAATTAAGTTGTACAATCATTACTCTTGTAAAGATCTCTTTATTGTTTTGAAAACTGTATACAAAATTACAGGCACCACCAAATATCTCATTATCAGAAGACTTTCAAGTGAAGTGTAGAGTCCTTCATTGCTTCAAATCAAAAACATTTGTTCAGATTCATTCAAACTTCTTCATGAAAATATCCTGTTAATGCAATGACATACTAAGACGTGAAATGATGCAAATTTCCAGTAAAGATTTAAATTTTTAGCTTTAGCAACTGAATAAGTCATTCGAACCAATAAATCTTCTTCAAAATTTCCGAAATCCCAAAACAAACTTAAGGAATAAATGAACCTAAAAAAAGTTTCTGGAGAAAGAATTACTGATTTTTGATTATGTTCAATTTATATGCCTAGCAGATGAAACTAACTTCATCAAAAAAAGTTTATATTCTTTTCAAAAAAATTACAGCCGTAGAATTCTTAACAGATTTTTAAAACAGTACTGATTTTTCGATATCAGATACACATAACAGTATATAGAATGAATAAACATTTTTAATCCGTAATATGTACAAAGTTTCCGAAAATACGCAACAAATCTTAAAACATTCCACTGCGCTTCATAAGCTAATATTTTAGTCTCGCTGAGCTCAGAACCAAGTGCAACAATTCCAAAGGAACTATGAGGTAGACATATTAGTTATTTCGACGATTGCCTAGGGAAGAAGAAGCGCCTTGTAACTGCTTCATCATATTTTGTAAACCACCCATACCACCCATTTGTTGCAGCACCCGTGGATCCATCATTTTTGCCATTTGTTGATTGAGCTTTTGTAGTTGAGATGGATTAATGTTTTTTGTATTCATATCACCGTTCTGCAACCAGTAAACAATAATAAATGAGTAGTAAGTAAACAAACAATCAGCTTGTTAATTATGAATAATAATTGTGAAAACAGGAGATGAATTTTTTGGGGAAATGAAAAAATAAGAACAGATATCTTTCTTTTAATCGTATAATCATGTAGAATAAAAACTGCAGTGAACTGCTCTGTCTAATATATCAGATGATGATTTGTAACTCTGATGAAAGTAATATTTATGATACCAAAAAATGCAAACATAATTGCATAAAATCGTAGCAAAAAAATTTTAATGGCAACTCTGTTTTCCGCAATTATTGTAAATTATACATGTATTACATACTTATTCTATATCGCTGCAATGAGTAAAAACAAGAGTGGACTTAAAAATTAAGTAAACAATGGATCAAAGAGACAACCAAAACTTACTACAGGTTTATGCAGTTATATGGGTTAAATATACAGATTAGTTTTTGTTCGCTGAAAAGACTTATCAAATAAAAACAAAGTTGAGAAATTACCTTGAATAAGCCCTTCATACTACCCATCTTTTTCACCATATCAGCAAATTTCTTATACTGTGTCAATAATTCTTTCACTTCGCTTGTTGCTGTTCCACTTCCACGTGCCACACGTTGAACTCGACCAGGCTCTTTTGAGAATAAATCATTCGCCTTTGGATGGTCTAATTCTACAAAAAAATTTCGCAATATCAGTGCAATAATGAACACTGAGTGAGAGCAAACTCACCTCCCCACTATCTTTATTCTCTGCATAACATTTTTACTTCCTTAAATCAAATTCAATTTAATTCTAACTTAATGTGCCAATAAATGAATTATGCTAAATTCCAATTCATGAAAACTACCTGCATCAGACATGCTATCCATAATAGTCATCAGTTTCTTGAGCCTGGACTGCGACTCTTGTTCGTTACCTTTAGACATAAAATCTGGTCCAAATCCAGGAATCATGCTCTGAAGACTAATGAAATAATTAGTAAAAAGCATGGAATTTTTTTAGTTTCTTATATTTAAGAGATGCAACTTAAAACTACAAGATTCCTTAAATCTTATTAAAAAATGACATGTTCAAAATAGAAAAGTGATAAACCATAATTTGATTAAATGGACCCATTTTCATGATATTTTGAAACTGCTCGTACATATCACGCAGTGTAAACATTCCTGAAATAAATTTTTTGCAAAGAATTTTCACTCTTATTCCAAAATAGACATATGTGAGGGAATATAATATTTTAATATAAACCAGAAGAATCAGATCCAATCAGACTTGAATACAAAGAATTGGAAATGCTGATGAATACTAAAATTCTATGAACTTTTACTCATTTTTTCAGGCATATGAATTATAATCCAGCTTAGTTCATGTCATCAACACCAGTTCTATTTCATTTTCTTTTATTTGTGAATTGCCATATTGACAAAGTAACACAAATGTACCACATATCATAAATTTAGCTAAATAATTTCAAATCTTAAAAGGAAATTAAACGTACCGTGCTTCAACCTCTTGATAAGTTCTTCGTTATCCTCGATACCGATTTCATTAACCTTTTTCACAAGACCTTCGATGTCGCCCATGCCTAACAGTTTCTGCACGAAAGGTTTCACTTCGAATGGCTCGAAATCATCAATATGTTCGCCAGTGCCAATGAATATCACAGGAGAATGTGTTGCAGCTACACTATAATGAAAAAGTACCTCTCAATTGAATTATTACTAATATTGAAAAAAAAAAAAAGTTTCCAAGTCTCACATAAACTCACGCTGAAAGAGCTCCACCACCTTTTGCATGACTGTCTAATTTGGTGATGATCACTGAACCAACGTCAACAGTTTCACTAAAAGCACGAGCCTGAGCTTCACAAGCTTGTCCAATCGAAGCATCCATAACGAAGACTATATTGCTAGGATTCTGAAACAAAAAGATATTGGAGTGTAAATGTTGACGAACATGAGGATTAATAACATTAAAGTATGACACTGAATGCTTTCATTTTCTAAGTAAAAAACTTTTTTGGTTGATAGAGTCTGGAAAAGAAATACCAGTACCAGTGTACAATTCCAGATTGGCAATATGGAGTTCAGCTCAAATTGTGGTTGATCTCAAGGGATGTCTATTCTTTTTTTGTAGATTGTATGAGGCTAAACGTAGAAAATATTCAGTTTTGAAGCTGTTAAATTTAGCACAATGAAATGTACAACAATGAAAAATTACCACTGCATTCGACACTTGCAACATTTCTTCGAAAAGCGAAGCTTCTTGCTTGTGTCGACCAGAAGTATCAACAATAATAATTTCGAATCCATCGTCTTTGAATTTATCGACACCATTTGCAGCTATAGTAACTGGATCCATTTCTGTATAACTAAAAGACTAGACTGATTCGATATGAATTTAACAAAAAAAAAAACAAATGCAAAAAAGTATTAATTTAAGAGTATACCAGGCAATTTTAAATCTCAAGTAAGCCATGTATCAAATGCATTTTGATTTGACAATCTACATATTAAGGTGAAGGTAAAAACTAATGAAAATTATAAAAAGACTAACCTTCCATAAAATGGTATCCTCGCTTTTGTAGCATTTTGTTTTAACTGATCAAATGCACCAGCACGGAATGTATCAGCACAAATTAAACATGTTTTCCAACCTTTTTTTTGGTAATAGTATGCCAACTAGAAACAACCTCTATAACAATACGAACTAGAAAAATAGATGATGTTTCAAAAGTTGAAATCCACGGTATGCATATAAGCACAAATGTATCATTTTCTTTTCACGAAATAAAAATAAACCTTGGTGCAAGTCGTCGTTTTACCGGATCCCTGTAGGCCAACAAACATGAAAATATTAGGCTTTCCTTTTGTAGGTTGGAAAGGTTTCACTCCTGGATCGACTAATTTCATTAATTCAGTGAAAACACAACGCTGAATCAGTCGTCTTTTGTTAACACCACCTGCCATTTCATCGAAATCCAAAGTCTTTCTAAAAACAAAACCGAAAAAATATTAAAAATAATAACAATGGCTTCATTATAATTTCTCTTTCAAGACGATTGGTGAAATTTTTCACTAATCGTTTTTCAATTTTTACGTAAACTTAGAGTTCCTGATTTCAGTTGACAGAATACAATTTTCTATCTACAACACCCAAACTTTAACGATGGTTATAATCAGTTAGCAATGTTTCTTGAAAGAAACGAAAAGACGAATATCTGAGTTCTCAGAATTATTCTTTTTAGAAGAGGAACATATTTCCAGAATGCTGAAAATTGTTAATAGGCACTTACTTGACATTATCTTTCAACTGTTTAACGAGTCGTACATTAACATCAGCTTCCAGCAATGCAGCACAGACTTCTTTGAGCATTGCATTGAGCTCATCTTCATTGATGATTGTTGCTTGGCCAAGTTTACTAATTGCATTACGAATTTTCCGACCCAAGTCAGCTAATACCATTTTTTGCTTTAAAATCTAATACCTGTAAGGAATAAAATTTATTGAATTAATTTGTTTCTTCTCAAAAATTTAATATTAATCGATAGAAAGTTGAGAAATAAAGCGATAGAGCGACAGATAGAGTCATGCAACGTTTGATTTAAAAGGACCGCAAGAAAGTTTTTAGTCTAATTTAAGCACCACTCGACCCTCCTAATTCACTGGAATATCACGGGAATAGATCCCGACTGATGCAAAGACAGTAAATTACTAAACCACCTCTGAAACACACACCGCACACAATCCACATCACAAACACGGCCCATTTGATCGTTAAATCGAACTTTTCTTTGACAGGGAGAAACGTTGCAGATTTCAAGATGTCGCCTGCCCTTTCGGAACACGTAGCCGACGTGTGCTTCGAGTTTCTCACGTGTCTTGTCGAGAATCATTGACATTTAGTTGCTGTTGAGAATCACATGTGTGCTGTAGGGTTTACTCCAATCTTACTTGTGCTTAATACATCGCTTGAAATGCTTGGAACTTTGAGTAATTTGGAAGATGTAAGTGTCTATCTTAGTGGATAAACAAAGAAATTATTGTAATTCAATTCTTCTCCTTTTCTTTTCATTTCCCGCTTTCTTAACGAAGAATATATCGATGAATCATCGAAAATGAGAAAAAGGCAAAACATAGTTAAAGATATAGATATTTGTTTTCTTTTTTCTGTTTAATTTGATTAATAAATGATATAACTTTTATCATAAATAATTAATTGACCAAAAAATGATCAGTTAGTGAATAAATCAATCGTAAGATAATTGTAAATCAATAGAGAAGCCATTTAATACATGGACAATTAACATTGAAGGAAATTTATCGGATTGATAGAAATAAAATAATGATGAGTGTCAAGTCAAGGATTATCAATCCCGTCGTTGTTAGTTAGAAGAATTCCCTGAGATCGGGGGATCATGATATTGAAGAAGCAAACGTCTGATGTTTGATGTCATCTAAAAAATAAGTGCGTAAAAAAGCAGAATTGATTGATTACATGTTGTCTTCCTCTTTTGTTGAAAAAAAAAAATGTTAACTGAAAGTAAAAATATTACTTATGTAAATCTTGGCCAACATGTTGAAGGCTTTGTCTCGTGTTATACTTATTAAAATAAAAGATTCTTCTAATAGCTCTGATAGTATTTCCATCGAGAGATAGAATTATAAATTAGATTTAGTAATTTCTCTCCTCGTCTCGTCACTAATAATTTAGTAATTTGAACAGTATTCAAAGAGTTTTGAGATGCCAGAATATAATTTTTCATGAGAAATGAATATTTAAGGAATAGATATAAGTGACCGAAGCAATACGATAGTGCATTTTAATGAATGAATTAAGTAAATGAACTAAGTAGAAGATTCATTCGAGAAACACTGAAAACGATATGATGGAATGGGTGGTGTCAAGCTACCACGACCACTGTCTTTACCGGTACTCCGAACACTTGCTCGTCGACTCTGTAGCTGCTTCAGCAGTACCACACAATCCTGTCTTTCTGTCGGTAGTTGTTGCTGAAAGCAAAATTTCAGAAAAGATTCGTGAAATATTCGTTATTTCTATGATTCTTTTTCGTTTTCACTAAAATTTCCACTAAATTTTGAATTTACGAACTTCACGAGCGAGCTATTTGTTGATTTTAGATATTTTAAATTCAAATATACTAATTACTTGTTGAAAACTTGATGTTTTATGAGACAAAAGATTCGGGGTTATATTCTTTTCCATTACAACATGTTCTGAGATATCACTCATTCTTGGTACTGCTGAAACTCGTAATCGTTCATTGAAAATTAGCGGTCGTTTCTCAGACTGTGCACCTGCATGAGTTGACATTTCTTTGTGGCACGTTGACGAGGGTAGTGACCTAAATTTTAAACGTATTTTAGAAGTAAGAAAGAATAAATGGCGCACATTGCCACAAATTTCAAATCTCGAGTTCATTTTTCTCTTGGTCTTGTTTTGCTTTATCTATCTCATTTATTGCTAACATATGAAAGATATGTACATCAAGGTGACGTACCTGTACACGTTGTAATTCTTAAAGACTTTTCGTAAATCCAACAATGATCTCTGTCGTCGAACATCATTCTGGAAATCTGTAGACTACAACCTCTTATGCTGCGATTCTTGATATTACAACTCATTATTTCTTTATCTTCAGGGTTACTTTAGGAGGTTCTATTATGCATACGATTTTCTATATGCATTTTGCTTGATCAATCCATGTTCCTATAGTTGTATTCAATATAATCATTTGTAATTCTGTTCCGATTTAAATTTATTTCACCTAAATAAATCCAGAAATTTAGGCAAAATTTCCTTCCAAAATTGATCTGTTAAGAAAAGTTTACCTCAATCATCGATTCCGATTCGTTTACTTTTCCCATCGTTCGCAGATGTGAGTGATAGTGATGGAACATGCAAAATGACTTTTCAGCATCCAAATAAACTCATTAAAAATTTTTGAATGTTGTCCGAATATTTGTAGTGATATTTTGAAGAGTTAGATCACATTCAAATAGATGAAATGTAAGGACAGGCAGACATATAGATTAGTAAACATTTCTATAATTAAACTTACTTCAATTCATTGGAGTCATTTGCTGTCTTACTACTTAGCAATGATATCCAACATGGTCGTATATGAGTAATTTTGGTAAGAAATACGTATAAAAACGGATTTGTAAATGCATTAATCGGATAAAATAGTACTAAAAATATCTTCGCCACACTGATACTAATAAGAGGGTGTCCCAGTGCTGCCGTTAAACCTGTAAAAAGAATTTTATAAAAGAAAAAAAGGTTTCATGAAGCGCATTTTTCAAAAAAAAATTTTTTTTTAAAAAAAAAACAAAGGTTTCATCTGACCTGCCATTTATTTTAAAAGCAATTGATACCACTATTCTTTAATGGTAAAATATTCGATTGAAAATAGGAAGAATGAATCAATTGTTTAGCTTACCGAAAAAAAGAGTCGGAAACCAGCAAAGCATTTCCGTACCAATTAGTGTTGCCATTTTCAGAATGATCGCTTTATCTTCTGATCGCTTCGGTTGTTCCGGATCACAAAGCATCCTTACAATGAAACTATAGCTAATTGCCATGCCCAAAAATGCAAGCAAATTGAACAACAAACTGCCAATTACATAGATCTGCAACTGAATTAAATTATCTTCTAATCAGATAAAACAACTGATAACTGTTAATCACACTAGTTTTTGATTTCGATTATGTAACTGAAGTTATTTTGAAATTTTAACTCACATCTCAATAAAACAAGTAAATTTTATGGTTTGAATTTAATAGCTTCAATTAAAAATTTTTGAAATCTGGAATTAAATTGATGAAAAGATTTCAACTGGAAAAATAATACCCGGTCAAAATTATCCTCAATGGAAAGAGGTAGACAAACGCTGGTGCTTGTATACGTGGATACACCTATAATTGGTAGTACTGCCATCGTAAATGCTATCAGATATGCCACGGCCATCATCATTATCGCAGTTCTCATCCGCAAACGTTTTCCGTAAAAGGCATTCCTAATAAATTTTTCTTTTTTCCGGAAGTAAAACAAATAAAGCGACGTAGTTTACAAATGTTTTAACTTGTCATCAAATATGTTCATTTCTTTTCTTTTCAAATCGGATTATATGATTTATATATTTGTACCTGATATTATAGCACATATCAAAAGCAATCAGAAACATCGACATAATAGAAATTTCGGAACTGAAAACGGAAATGAAACCAGCTATGTTACAACCAATACCGGTTTGCCATGCAACCGCATAATTATAATATTCATTTGATGTCTTATAATCTGCTATTGCCAGTACACCAAGATAAACACCTAAAAATGCACTACTACAAGTGTCATTTTTGATTTTATTATTACTGATTCAATGACCAGGTCAAAGGGTACTGATTAATCAATGCATCACGTAAGGATAAGCTCCTGTTTTACCGCAGTACCATTATTATTTTCTTTCACTTTTAGCTCATTTTTCCGCCTTTTAGCCTTTTTTTGCTCTCAGTAAATATTTTCCTAATTTTATACTTTCGATCTCCAATATATGATCAGTGAGCATTTGATGGGACATTCTATCCAGTATTAAATTCATTCAATTCCAATCTTTTATAACTTTTATGAAATGTATTTCAAACAGATTCACCTTTCTAGGCTTTTGATCCGTTTCAGCCCAAATTACGCTCTTCAACGAGCAAATTTTGCATTTAACATAACCTTTTTTTTCACTCTTTCAACTGATAGATACCTTCCTTGGCTAACCTGTTAGCAAATCCGCAGTGGACAAATTAGCCATGAAGAAATAATGGACTTGCATTCTCTTTTGTCCCATTTGGCATAGCACAATCCATACGCCTATATTACCAACAATGGCCGAAATCCATACAAACCATATTGCCCAACGTAAAAAGTCATAGCTGCAAGTAAAAGTTATTACCATTGACCAAAATGTCATCAACGATGTATGTGACACATTGGTTAATTACTACAGCATAGAACTTGAAACTTGGGAATATATTTATTAGTTAATGAATAAGAATGTTTTCAAGACTATTCAACTTACCCAATGACATCTTCGCAAGGATTCAGCGCATTTGGCATCGGAGTGCATTGGATAGATGCAAAGAAATCACTAACAGCACTCGATGTACAATTGAAAGTCGTCAAAAGTCCAACATCAGCGTCCTCAAATTCAGGCTCCAATAATGTGTCCCAGTCATCGTCTATCTTTAATTAACAAAGTTAGGCATGCATTAAAACTTGGCTAGCATATTAATAAAACATATCTAAAAAATTGGACGAATTTTCTCTTCGATAAAAAAAATCGATGTGCTATTTTTGGCACTATTTTCGTATAACATAAAAATAATACATAAACATATATATATATACCTCAATAGTAATATTACCAGCATTGACAGAATCAAACCATTGTAACAAATCGGAAAAATCTAGCGGATTTTCCCGCGATTCTTGTGGAAGCAATATTGAGCGATCAGTTCGCGCAAACCGTCGTCGCAAGCGATTGAGTTTTGGGGTTGATTTGGCGGAACATTCACGATTTCGAATCTCTTCCAGATTTTTCGTGTACATTTCACCAGCTGTACTGATTTCCTTTGAGGCATACTGCAACCAGAGCAGAGAACGATTAATGAGCTTTCTGGCAATTTTCTAATTTTACCAAAAAGATTTGCTTACCAAAAAAAAATTCTTTATTTCTTGCTGAAAAAGAATTTATTTAATGTGGTGTCAGAAGATATGAATGGATATGAACAAGAACAAAAACACGGTGGCAAATAATGACTATCGTTTTTGAAGGTTGAAATTTACTTTGAATAAGCAGCAATGGTATGGATAAGTGAATTCAACTTTTTTCAATGATGTAAAAGCCAAAATTGGTGGCAATTTTTTCAGGTCCTCAGTATCCTTTAATTTTAGACCTTCTAAACGAGATAAACCGGTCGTTGGAAGTTCTGTGATACCGGTACGTGAAAGATCACTGAAATGTAAAATGATTTCAAGTGGAACACTAAATGAGTCATATCTGCAAAAAATGCATAATTTAATCACTTAAATGGTTGAGAGAGAATCAACAAAACGGATATTGTAATTATTTATTATAAAAAATGGAATATAATTAATAAATTTCAAACTACTTACAGGAGTTTAATGAATGATATGCCGGCAAATGTATCAATTGAAAGGCGTTTAAGTTCTAGATTATCATTCAATTCTCTATAAAAATAGGCATGAATTATATCTTGTATTCAAAAACTTGTAATTTGAATAAAAATCATTTGAAAGGCGTTTAAGGCATGAAATAATTTTCAAATGAATAATTATAAATTACTATAGCATTTGGATGCATTTTGTTCAACTTTAACCCATAAAACATACAGCAATGAAAATCGACAATTAGCAAATATATGACTTCCAATTTCACGTAAGTCATTATTGTTAAGACGAATTTTATTAGCATGAACAGCTCGAAGTTGACCATCTCCGAGATATTCGATATGATTGTAGGAGAAATCAATTACTTCCATAGCTAATCGATGTCTCGGTGTCATCTCTAACGTTGGCATACGTACCAAACCATTGTTGCTCATCATCCAGAAATAATGATTATAGTGTTATCACCTTTGATCAATTATTTTATTATCATTCAACTATCTTTCAATTAATCTTATAGAAATCATTCAAGCGAAAATCAATAATTTATAAATTAAAAATATTAGTCTTTTTTTGCTGTGTAATAACCAAGAAATAATTACATAAAACCATTGCGAAAATAATTGGAAAGTTCAAATATTTACAATGTTAAGATTCTTGTGTTATTAATAAGTAGAATTCCAGTAACTTCTTTTAGATTTTTACATCCACTGACAGATCTGAAAAATGACAAACAATTAAGCAATTTGCGCCTTTTATCGGTCATGCGACATGTGCACCTTTAAAGTAATTAAGAAAAAATAGACTGAAACCTGAACTAACAGTTTGCCAAGATTATATAGATAGCCAAATGCATCAGCGTTAATTGATTGTAATGCATCCGAATCTTCGATAACACTGCAAATTGTTCTGTTCATTAATTTAACAAAATTTAAAATTTTAATACATACAATGCTAAAATATTTGAAGATATATTATATAAGATATTGTATTAAATGTTAGTTACAAATTTATGTTTCAGTGTAAAAAAAAAAAATCTTTTTCGAATATTCCATCTTTAACAAAATGGAATAGAAAATAAACAAATACAAAGAAACAAACATTTCCTCCAGATGTTGATACCTACTGAAAGCATTTTCACGAATATGACTGATTCCTACATTATAGAGTAACCTGAAAAAATAAGTTTAAATTTTTTAAATTATATACATCCATAATAATTTGCGTCCAGAATTTTTTGTTTTTTTTTTGTGTGTATGTATTTTGAGGAACTACGAAAAAATAAAAACGAAATGTTTTTTAAATGTGTATGCCACTATTAAATCGTTTCATTTCCTTTCTTTCTTTCGTGTTGACACGAAAGCAAATTGAGATAACCTATGGCTTTTTTCAAAATGGTCCTTCAAATAATACTTAACTTTCTTTTGTTTTGTCCTAATCTTATGAATTTCTAAGACAGAATTTAAGAATTCAAGAAAAAAGATAGAACAAAGAAGTTAAGAATGAGATGACTAACAGACGGCGAACATTATCGGTTAAATTTCCCGGTATTTCACTAACCGATTGCCCAACACAGCAACATTTAGGTTCACTTATAAATATCGTACAGCTGCATCCACGTTCCACACGACAAACTTTCTCATACCTTTATTATTGATTAGTGAAAAAACCTCTTTTTTTTTCTCTAAT